TTGCGGCCACAAGGCGAGGCCGAGGGCTTTGGGTTTGGGGCTTCAAGCTCGGCGTCTACGCCGCAGGGCTTAAGGCGCAGGGCCAGGGGTCTGAAGCCGCGGGGCCAGGCCCAATAGCTGAGGTTTTCCGGGACTGAGGGCCCAAGGCTGAGGGCTGAGGGCCAGGGGCTTCGGCCCTCAGCCCCTGCGCTTTCGTTTTTCCCTCATATTCAAAGGATGGGGTGCTTGCAATTACAGACCGCGCAGAGAACTCACCTCCACCTCCCTCCTCCTCATGTTGATTCATGTGATGCCATGGCATGCTATGCTATGCTATGGTCTATGCCATGTTCTGTTATGGTATGGCATGTTATCGTATGATATGGTATATGATGCTACGAATTGATGTGGCCTGATATGGTATGGCATGCTATGCTATGATCTGCTATGTTATGTTATGCAGTGTTGTGTTATGCTGTCTTACGTTATGCTATGTCATGTTATGGTATGCTGATGGTGGTGATGATGCTACGGATGCAGATGATGCGGATGATTATGCTGCTGGTGATGATGATGCTGATGATGCTGCTGATAATGATGGTGATGATGATGCTGATGATTAGTATACGAATGATGATGGTTTTGATGATCCTGATGCTGATGCTGATGATGCTGCTGACGATGATGATCCTGATTATGATGATGCTGTTGATGTTGATGAGGATGATGATGATGATGATGATTATTGTGATGATGGTGATGATGATGGTGATGGTGATGGTGATGGTGATGATGATGATGATGATGATGATGATGATGATGATGATGATGATGATGATGATGATGATGCTGATGCTGATGCTGATGGTGATGGTGATGGTGATGGTGATGGTGATGGTGATGGTGATGGCGGAGGAAATTCAGAGGATGTCTCGAGCGAGGCGCGGGTTTCAGCACCTCCAAGGGGGAGTCGCCAGGGGGTATATCACTCCTCCGTTGGCGCCAAAATGGCGGGGCTGTCTCGAGCGGCTTGCCTGTTTGCTGACCCATCATCCTCTGCTGTCGGAGCAAATTTGGAGAATGTCTCGAGCGAGGCGCTCATTTTCGCCCCCAAGTGGGGCCAGACTTTGAGGATGTCTCTCTTGATCGGTTTGCCTGTTTTGGTGGCCAGACTCGTGGGCACAGATCCCCCCTCAGGATGCCACCGGAGGCTCCAGCAGGCTCCAGAAGGCTCCAGGAGGCAACAGGAGGTCACAGGAGGCATCAGGAGGCCGCAGGAAGACTCAAGAGGCCACAAGATGCCTCAAGAGGCTTCAGGAGGCCCAAGGATGCTCCAGAAGGCCCCAGGGTGCTCCAGGAGGCCACAGGAAGCCACGGGAAGCACCAGGAGGCACCCGGAGGCCCTGGAAGGCACGAAGGGGCCCCAAGAGGCCCCGAGAGGCCCCAGGAGCAGGAGGCCTCAGAAGGCCGCAGGAGTGGCTCCAATCCCATGTGTTATACATATGCTCATATAGATTGTGCTTTCCCTGGAGCACAAATCCGTAGTGTTTTACATATGTTTCTATAAGTTGTCCTTTTCCTGTGTATCCAATCCTTACGTGTTTCACGTATGTTGCTATGGGTTGGGCCTCCCCTGGGCACGATTCCTCGGTGTTTTACGTGTGTTCCTCTTGATTGCCTTTCTCCTGCGGCTCCAATCCGCAGTGCTTGATCTACGTCTGTTCCTATAGAATGGGCTTCTCCTGGGGCACGAATCCTCCCCAGGATGCCCCAGGAGGCTCCAGGAAGCCCCAAGAGGCCCCAGGAGACTACAAGAGGCCCCACATGTCCTCATTCAGGAACCAACATGAACATCCAGGACCCTTGTTGGGCTGACAGGAGTCCACACGAATTTTGAGAAATCTCCATATCCAACCGAATCCTTCGGGGTCTTCAGGAATCGTGTAGGGCTCCAGTGGAATCCTCCAGGGATTCTTGGGAATCCGTAGGGATCCGTAGGAATCCTCCAGGGTTCCTCGGGGTCGTTGCCGAATCAGCAGGAATCTGTAGAGGTCCGCAAGGATCCCCTGTGAGAAACATAAGAAATCCAAAGGATCCCCAGGATTCCTCCCGAATCTCAGGAAATCGCAGGAATTCCTCATTCATCTTGTTGGGGCCCAGTGGAGTCTTCAGGATCATTGAGACACCCGCAGGGAACTTTGCGAATCCGCAGGAAACGCATAGGGGTTCTCACCATATCGGCAGGAATTCGAAAGAATCCAGAGGGATCGCTCCCGTGGAATTCCTGGGGGGTTCAAATAAGTATCAGGAACAAGCAGGATCCCGAAGACTTTTTTAGGAATTCGTCCGGATTCCGCTGAATATCCTTCGTGAAACCGTGGGGGGTTGTTCAGGTATCCGCACGCCTCCTCAGGTGCCTTTCAGCAATCCTCAGGGGTCCTCAGGAACCCGCGTTTCGGAAATCTTCCGGAGCCCGCGGGCTCTTCAGGAGTTCCCCCTGCAGGAAGCTCCAGGATCAGGAATTCCGAGGAATCCATAGGAACCCTTCGGAAACCGACTCGCGGGTGCCTGGGAATCTTTCCGGAATCCTCCAGGGATCCATGTGGGGAGTCCTGAGGAAATGTCCAGAACCGTCCCGGATCTTTAAGAATCTCAAGGAACGATCAGGGGACCGTGGGAATATTCCAATAATCGGTCAGAAGCCATCAGGAACCATCAGGGGACTTCAGGAATCCATGGGGAATATTCAAACAATTTGTCAGACATCTTCAGGGCCCTCAGGAAACCTCAGGATTCCATTTGGAATCTTCAGGACTCCATCAGGAATCTGGTAGGAATCCTGTTGATATTCTTTCAGGAAGCTTCCCAGGTCCATCAGGAAACCAGAGAAACCCTCGCAGAACCCGCAGGAGTCCCGAAGAGTCTGGAGGACCTTCCAGGAATCCGAAGGAACTAGTCAGGAATCAGCAGGAATTCCGAAAGGTATTGAAGGATATTCAGGAATCCTTGCCGGATCTTTTGGAATCTTCAGACAGTTTTGGGAACTTCAGGAATGATCCAGAATTCTTGTGAATAGTCATGAATTTGCAGGAACCCGTAGGAATCCTCCAGGGATCCGTCAGGAATCCTGCAAGATCCTTCAGGAATATCCTTAGGAAGGGGCAGGACCCCCGAAGAGTTTCCATGATGTGGGGATCCTGATCTTCAGGAAACATGAATCTCCAGAAGGTTATTGCAGGAATGCTTCGGGAACGCTTGTGGCTGCCCCGGAAAAAAACCAAAGGATCTTTCTGGAATTCGCAGGTGGCTCTGTCGGAGCCCGTCGGAATCTTCAGGGAGCCCAACGAAACCTGCAGGGCACCTGAGGTATCTGGTAAGAAAGCGGAGGAATCCTCCATGAAACCTCTGGAATCCAGAGGAACCTTCAGGAATCTCCAGGAACCTTCTAAGGATCTACAACACATCAATGGTTTTCTCTTTGGAATCTGTCAGGGATCCTTCAGTGATCCATCAGAAGTCGTCAAGAATTATTCAGTAATCTTCCGGATTCTTTTGGGATCCGTCAGGAATCCCCCGGAATTCGTGCGAGTCCTTGGGGACATTCGGGAATCCTCAGGGATGTTCGACAATTCCTGGGAGTTTTATATGAACCTTTCCTAGGAATCCCCAGTAATCCTTTCTGGGATTTTCACGCACGAATCCTAGGGACTCCCCCTGCAGGAACTCTTGCGGAATCCCTGAGGAAGCTTGGGCGGCGCTCAGTCTGCGCCATGTTGCGTGGGAAGTAGGCCAACACGACAAGGAAAACAACGGATGCGATAGATGCGAGGTGGAGAAAAGGCCAGGCCGTAAGTTGGTTTTGAGCAAGGCCCGGGGCGGGGTGGAGGGGGGCGAGGACGAGGCGGGGGTGGGCGTTGATTCGGCAATCTAAGAAAATTGATTTGGGTCCAAGATTCACGAAAACGTGGTTCAAAAGTAGCCAGGGGTGCTCAGATTACCCTTGGGAGAGGTAGAAAACAACGGCGCCGATTCTGCCACCTCTGCTGCCTCGCCCTGGTGATGCCCGTTCCTGCGGGCCCCCCGACGCCGATTTGGCGAACGCCTCGCGTCCGTTGTGGCTGCCGGCAGAAGAGGGCAGCGACGCCGAACGCGAGTTCGTCGCCAAGTCGGCAAGCTTTTCCAATGTGCAAGCGTGGGCCCTTCTGGAGCGCGTCGGGGGCCCCAGGGATAGGGCGCCGCGATGGCGAGGCCGCGTGGGGGTCAGAACTGGCGCTCTCGAGTTGTTTCCGAATTTCTCTGGCGAACCTTATGCGAACTTATTTGTTTTTGGATAAAACAGTCAGTTTCAACTCTCTGCCACAACATCCACGTTACAACTGTAGCTGTTCGTAGGCCAAAGTACAGAAGCACCCGAACAACAAAGCTGAAGGTGTGGTCTGGAGTTTTTCCCCTCCACCTCCCCATGCGGCTGCTCGTCCGTGACAGCCGCCACTGTGGTGGAATAGCCTGGGCGCTCTGAGTGGCCAGCGCACCTGCTCGGGGGGGCCTCTTTCCCTGGCCATGGGCGGGCGGACGGTGCGGCGACCTGGAGCGGCGGGCCGGGGCGGCGACCCGGAGGGCGTTTTAGAGGACCTCCACAAGGCCACAGCCACTGATCCCCCGTTGGCTTCTCAGTGCTCCGAAGCGTCCTCGCCTCCTCGGGCTTCCGGCGCTCCGAGGTGGCCGCATTGCGCGCCCGGGGTCGCCCTGCAGGACGGCCCAGGAGGCCGCCCCGGGGGGCCGACGATGGAGGCCCCGCGGCCGAGAGGGGAGGAGATGAGCCAGCGAGTGGGCGGTGGGCGACCAGGCGAGGGGCTCAGGTATTCAGACGGCTCCGCCCGCTCCTCTCTCCTTGTCCGGTCCGCCATGGTGCAGAGGCGAGGCCAGAGTCGTCAGAGCTGCCGTCGTCGGCTCCGGCAACAATTTCCTGAGCCTCGTGGTTCGTTCCCCCTCCGCTCGCGTCGTGTCCGCCCGGGGCCGAGGAGATCGTGAAGCTGGCGGAGAGCGAGTTCGGCGCGAAGCGCAGGACCTCTTTCTTCCAGGGGGCCCCATCTGGCCCTCGCCTGGCGCAGTGGAGAAAGTGAGGGCCACATTTTGGTGTAAGACGGCGTGCTCGAGGAAGCGATGGTGAAGGGCAGAAGGGCGAGGAAGAGGCTCGCCGTCAGGATGATGGTCGTCTTCAGGCAAGAATAGACGGACGGATTGAAGGATGGCAACGGCGCTACGCACTTGGGCATTCTGTCGGGCGTGGTGTGAATGGTGTGGCGTGTTGCGCATCGCAGGGAGGCTATATCATGTCGTGTCAAGTGTAGCACCCATGCGTACGACGAGCGCCGTAGGCAACCTGCACTAGTTTTCGTGCCATTGCACTCCTCATAGGGACGCAGGTGTTTGCGGGCTTCAATGTCATGAGGTGACGCGAGGGGTTGCAGTGCGCGGTGTGCACCCCGTGCCGGCCGTAGCCATCAGCCAGTGGCACGCGTCATACACCAAGTAGTAAGTGGCAGCGCAGTCGGGAACAACTACGTGCATGTTTGTGCATGCTGCGTTCTGTTCATCAACCAGCACGCGGGGTTTGCGATCCGCACCCAGCAGATGGGTCGTACTCGTCAGTGGGTATCGAGAGACAGGCTTCGGCTACGAACAGTAGGCATGGACTTGCGAGTGTGATCTCGTGGTGCGTCTGGTTGGGCAAGCTGCGGCGTCACACACTAAATAACATCATTCTGCGACAAGTGCAGCGTGTAATCAGCATCAATCGGTTGCCAGTGCGTAACAGGGGGTGGCCAGTGTGTAGCGGCTCGGCGACCAAGCAGAGGTTCTACTCTGGCAGGCCATCCGCTTTTTCTGGGCAGGGATCGAGTCTTGCAGTCATCACGAAGCGAACATGAGCACTGAGCGTAAGGCAACCCCATGACACGTCGTAGTTTTTGCTTCTGGACGTGAGGTAAGAATCGTACAATGAACGTAGCGCGGCCGATCAATCAACCGCACATCAAGCAAGACAGCAAGATAGAAGAGTCGTGCACGTACCGCAAGTCGGGTTATGTGCTCCGCCCCAGCCTGGCGATGTACCGAGACCGGGCCACCATCAAGATGATCAGCGGAGGTTTGCTCGCCTATTTCTATTTGGGTTTGGGGTATGGCGCAGAGGAGAGGATGGTCGGACGATGGGTTATCACAAATGCCAGGAGCACTGTGGTCGAGGGAGGAGGGCCTGCCCGGTTCTGACACTCATCGCTTGCCGTCCCCGCTCGTGTGCGCAGGCGGTCCCGTAACCTTGGCTCAGCGTGTCGCGCTGCTGGTTCTGGCCCACCACGCCTTGGATCGACACGCTATCCATCACCACCCACCAAACCACCCCAACCCAACCCGAAGGCTCAGATTTACCCTCGATTTCTGGTGGGAGGGGGTCGGGAAACATCGAAAAAACACGCGTGGACCCCTTACCCCCCCCCAACCCGAAATTCGGGTCTTCGGGTTGGGTTGGGGTGGTCTGGTAGGTAGTCAATCCACATCTCAGTTCCCGTGCGTCAGTGTCCCTAGCCTTTCCCAGCCTCCCGCCCCGCGGAGCGGAGCGACACGCTGTCCGCACGCAGGGCGTAGTGCGTCGCCAGGGCCGCCGCCGCGATACGCCAGGAACAAGCTCCCGACCATGTACGGTTGCATGCGCAACGTGTAGACAGCATGTGCGAACACGTGCCTCCTCCCCCAGCTTCCACCTCCCTCCTGCTCCCTCCCTCGGTCTCTGAGCGGGCCGATGGGGAAGACGAGACATGGGGAGTGTTGGATACTGAGGGAGCATGAGAGAGAGGAAGAGAGAGAGAGAGAGAGAGAGATAGACACAAACATGAGAAGAGCGAGGAGGAGGAGGAGGAGGAGGAGGAGGAGGAGGAGGAGGAGGAGGAGGAGGGGGAGGAGAGGGATCTGGGAGGACAAGGGGGACGACGAGAAAGAAGTGGCGAACGACCAAGGGGACCAGGGGGACGACGACGACGACGACGACGACGACGACGACGACGACGACGACGACGACGACGACGACGACGACGACCGACTACGGAGGCGGCGACTGCACCGACGACGACAGCGACGACGATCGCGACTGCATCGAGGGCGCCGTGGCGGAGGACCGCGCTCACGACGGCGACGCCGGCAGCGACGAGGACGACGAGGACGACGAGGCCAACGAAAACGACGACGATGCCGACGACGAGGACGGCGGCGACGACGACGGCGGCGGCAGCGAGGACGGCGAGGGCGAGGACAGCGACCACGCCGACGAAAACGACGGCGAGGACGAGGACGAGGGCGGTTTCGACGACGAGGGCGACGGCGACGGCAAGGACCGCGGCGGCGGCGGCGTCGCTGACGACCGCGGCGGCGGCGAGCAGGACGGCGGCGGCGCCGAGAGCCCACAGGCCTGAGCGCCCTCGAGCCGGGCGGGCGTGCGGGCAGCAAGGAGAGCAGGCTTAGGCACGCCGCGCAGGCCGGCTCGCCACCGCTGCCGCCGCTGCAAGCCGCCGCCACTGGGGCCGCCGCTCCCGCCGCCGTCGCCCTTCGTGCCGCCTCCGCCGCCGCGGCTGCCGCCGCCGCCGCGGTCGCCGCCGCGGTCGCTGCCGTCGTGCGGCGTCGTGGCCGTCGTCGCCGCTTGCCGCCGCTGCCGCCGCCGCCGCCGTCAAGCGGCGTCGTGGCCGTAGTCGCCGCTTTCCGCCGCTGCCGCCGCTGCCGCGGTCGCTGCTGTCGTGCGGCGTCGTGGCCGTCGTCGCCGCCGTCCGTCGCTGCTGCCGCTGGCGCCGCCGTCACAGCGGCGATCGTCAACCGTTTTGGGCGTCGTGCCCATCTTGCCGAGGCCTCTTGGCCGCCCCCTGGGGTCTTCCAGGAGGGGGAGAATGAAGAGGCGAAGGATCGCGCAGCGCTCACCGAGGAAACGTAGGCATGCAGTGAGGCGCGTGTATTAGCGACGGGTCCCGTTTCCATATTACGTCGACGCGCTCTGCCGCCAGCGCAGGCTGCACTGGCGCTATGTTTTTGGGGCACTTTCCCCGAGCCATGTAAGCGTGTGCCTGGGGGTCGCCACTGGGGGGGTCGCCGGCTCCGTCTGGACTTCCCGGGTTGAGGAGGAGGGCGGATCGATGTTCGAAAAGGTTCTGGGCGTCTTGGGGCCTTTTGGGGGGCGTCCTGGGGCTTCTTGGAGGTAGCAGGAGGCTCCCTTTCCCGGAGTTCTTGGCGACTCCCTCAGTGGTGACCCCTTTTGGCGCTACCTGTGAGGAGGGGGGCCAGAGAGAGGATCAGGAAAGTCGAGGGGGATCTCGGGAAGAGCTGGTCCGATGGTCGACACGCCTAGACGCGGGTGGTGTAGATCAATCCTGTCCTAGAGTACCTCCGCGGGGAAGTGCCCTCAGGTCCTCAGAGGCTTCTGGAGGCCTCTCGAGGCATCTGCTGGCCCGAAACGGGTCAGAGACGTACGGCAGGTTCGCATCGTGTCGACGCTCCGTCGACACTGCCGCCGGCGTGAAACTGCCCAGCAACGGGCAATACGGAACGATTTGGCGATCGGAAAGTCGCTCGTTCAAGGTTGACCGGTCCACGCGGTGACAGGAACCAACGCCGGAGTCGCCACGACACGAATGTGCCGTTACATCAACTACAAGCAAACACATACATCGATCCCTGGCTTTGACAGCCTTTCTTGGCGAAGAAGGTCTTGGCCCCCACCCCCTCCTCGAGGGTCCCCCCCTCAGCCTAGTTAAGGGGCACGCCCCTGCCAGGATTTCGGGGCGGATCCAGCCGTGACGACGATGGGATTCCTTGAGGCCCAGATTCGGGGAAACGTAGGACTCGAGTACGCCGGAACTCGGATTCGCCTACGCTTTTTGAGGAGCGCGTCCTGGATTTTGACTGTCCAGTCTTCGTGGGATGTCTGCAAGCGGGAGCTCGCGTCAAATCTCAGAGCGGGCCTCGTCGTCTTCACGATGGCCCCGTCAGGCCACCCGGAGTCCCCCGAATCCGAGTCTCTCGTCTCCCCGACAAGTGAGGCGAGCCGCGTTCAGTCGGGGGCCCCCACGCGGTGCGGTGACCACACCGCGTGGTGAGCCGGTGGGGATGTGGGGTGACCGCACTTTTTTTTGTGGGCCCGAGTCCTTCTCCGAGGTTGTCTCGAGCGGCCAGGGCCTCCAAGGTCCCCAAACCCTGCGGTGATCATGTTGCATCTTCGGGGGCCCTCGCCTGTCCCCCCAAATTGGTGTCTGTCCTTGCGCCCGACGCTGGCTCGATGCGGACTCGACGCGGATTTGGCGTGGATTCGACGCGGATGCGACACGGATCCGACGAGTCCGACATGGATTCGACACGGATTCGACGCGGATGGGCCCATACGGGACAGACAAGGTCCGTGGAGGATGCAACATAATGTGCGGTGAGGTCCTCTGGGATTTCGGAGTCACCGCGCGGGCCTTTCACCGCACGGTTTCGAGACCTTCATGTCCAAACGCCTCGATCCTGCTGAACCCTCTTCGTCGCGAAGGAGCTCCAGGCATCCATCGGACGGGGCTAGGACGAGGATTGATCCGTTCCAGAACGTTCCAGAACGCTGTCAGAGCGTTCGGGAACGCTTTGAGAAGGCCGCGGCGCTCGAGACATCCTCCAGGGCCGCCGGATCTCAGAACTCCTCGAATCTGCTCCACCTCATCTTGTCATCGTCATGGCTGCGCCTTCAAGAGCCTCGATCCCGCTCGAGCCTCTTCGTCGCGCAAGAGCCCTGGGCGCGCGGCCTGCCGGAAGAGGTCGCACGTCAGGCCGGCGAGCTCCGCGGGGGCGGCGGCAGGCGGCGCCCACATGGAGGGCTCCCGCCCGCCGGGGGCCTGCCGCGCGGGCGCCGCGGGCGGCGCGCGAGGCAGCTCTCGCGGGCGCGCTCCTCTGGGCAGGCCGCGCGCCGCCGCGCTGCCCCGGCCTCGGCCTCCCACTGCAAGGGCGCAAGGGCCGCCGAGGGCCTGAGCTGGCTGCGGGCGCAGGAGGCGTTGCGAGGGCGGCCGCCCGGCAGGGCTGCCGCGCCCCTAGGCGCGCGACCGTGCGCGCGGGGCCGGCGCATGCCCGGCCAGCCCGCAGGTGCCATCGCGGCTCGGGGCAGCTGCGGCTCTGGGCGGAGTGGTCGGCGCCGTGCCGGGGCCGCCCTGCCGCGCGTGGGGCGTCGCGGCAGGCCGGAGCGCCCATGGTTCCATGCGCTCTGTCCGGGAACCGTGGGGCTCGGCGTTCTGAGACCCCGCAGCCCGTCAGCAAGGAGGGCTTCGGCGTGGCAACCTCGTTGTCTGCTCCGCTCTGACCTTGCTTCGCCTCCTGTGCATGCGCGGTATACGGGTGATCCTCGAAACTCCGATTAGTTCGAGAATCTGGCACACTCCCGGGCTGTTGCATGTCTTTCGCCGCTGTCGTGGCCACGCACGTGGTTTTGACCAGCGTCGTTCGGCATGTGTGCGATGCAGAACAAACAGGGCGGTCTTCACCGACATTGGCGCATAAGCGTCCCGCGCAAGGTCGCGTGGAAACGCCCTCGTTCCCGATGGGGCGTGCCGCGCTGGCAGCCCGCGTAAGCCACCGCGCAAGGTCGCTATGTCAACGTGCGTAAGACTCGTCCCTTTTCGTCGCTCGGGCGCTTGGGGAAGCGCGCGTAGGAATCATTCATGCATGCGACTCTTCGCACTGACTGGGTCGTGCGAGTTTCGGGCCTCTTTCTCTCCCCTTCCTCCTCCTCCTCTTCTCCTCCGCCTTTTCCTCCTCCTCCTCCTCCTCTTCTCCTCCCCTCGCCCCTCCCCTCTCCTCGCTCCCGGCGCGGCGCTGATACGTTTTGTGAGCCCATTCGTCCCGCCATCTCCGCCCGCAGTTCCGCCCCGTCGCCTTTCTATGTGCTTGTCCAGGGCCGGGGGCCATTCCCAATTTCAGGGGCCTTGGACGGCGTAGTTCCCCGACTCGTGGGGCAGCTTCCTCCTCCTCCTCCTCCTCCTCCTCCTCCTCCTCCTCCTCCTCCTCATCATCATCATCATCATCATCATCATCATCATCATCATCATCATCATCATCATCATCATCATCATCATCTCCCTTCTCCCTTCTCCCTTCTCCCTTCTCCTCTCTCTCCTCTTCCTGTCGCTACTGCGTTGCACACTGGTTGTCCAGGCCATGGTTCATACCATGAGTTTGTTTATTGCAGGTCGGCTTGTGCGGTGCTCCCGCTTTGCACCCGTGGGTCTTGTACGAGCAGAGAGAGGTGCCATTCACCCGTGTCGTTCACTTGTGTCTGGAGATATGGCAACACGTGCAAAGGATCTGGCGGCCTCCGTAGCAGAACGGGCCGCCCCCGCTCCGTTCTGGGGAGGGGTCGCCTCTTGCCCTCCCGTGCTGTGTAAGGCCATGGTCCAGACCCTGCTGCCCCACGCTCGTGTTAAGTCGGGCACGTCCCTCTACAGGAGGAGTACTCGAAAGGAGTCAACAAACTAATCAGGGGGCGATTCTGATGTTGAGTGACAATGTTTTTCATCTTTCTTCCAAAAGCCGCCTGTAGGGGGACGTGCCCGATGTAATTCTCGCAGTAACACTGCCACAGTAGCGCCTGGCTGGCGCTGGCCGTCCGCTTCGCCCGTTCCTCTCCCGTGCGCCCTGCCCTGCCCTGCCCCGGGGACCGCCGGTCCCGAGCTCTCCCCCCGTCGGGTCCGGGGTGGTGGCCCGGAGCCTGGATTCCAGTGGAGGCTCGCGCCGGACGAAAGGGGAATGTTGCTCGCATGCCCCGACCAGGGGCCGACCAAGAGGAGCGGGCCAGGCCAGGGGCAGAGACAGGAAGGCGAGGAGCCAAGAAGCGAGAGAGGGAGGGGAAGAGGGAAAGAGGACGACGGGAAAGGGACAGACCAGGCCGACGGACGGAGAGGGACAGCGGGGGGGGGACGGAGAGGGGGGCAACCGAGCAAAGGGGGGGGGGGAGAGGGAGGGAGAGCGCGCCACGACCAGGGGCGGGGAAGCAGATCATGTTCAGGGGGAAAGGGGGGGTTACGGAATTTGCTGCATGTGGCCGGTTTCGGCCCCACCGAGGGGCCCATTCCTCGATGCGTGGCCGCCTCCGGCGCTGGGAGGCGCCGGGAACATCAGCTACGTGAGCTGATTCTCAACCTCCCCCTTTGCTATCCCCCCCTTTCGCCCAGCCCGAGAGGCCCATGCCAAGAATCACTTTGCTTGCCTCCAGGGTGCCCTGGGGTTCTTGGGCCTCGATGGTCTTGCGGTGGAAAGCGTGACGCTCATGCACCAGCAATCGATGGACGCCGTGGGGTCTCAGGGTCGGGCCTCTTGTGGCAGGTCTCTTGTGGTCGGGCCCCTGCTGTAACGAAGCTCCAGCCAGTGTGGCTACATATTGGTGGGTGATGCGCTCGCTGTGGCGCGTGGCACCTCTCTGTCAGAGCTCGGCGCCCCCCACGGATAAATCCACGTCGTCGCCCGTGTGCGCTTGCGCATCGGCGCGGCCCGCTGGCTCTGCAGTCGCCCTCGCGCCCGCCAGCGCTGCCATCACAGAGCGCGTGCTTGCGCGGGGAGGCGAGGGGGCAGTGTGCGGGTGATGTCTCGTGTTGCTCCAGATCTTCCTGTGCTCGAACCTTCTTCGCGTTCCATCCCTCCCTGGCGGGTGCTGCGTTCTCTGTGACGCGTGGCACCTCTGTGTCAGAGTTCGTTCCCCACGAGCAGTCTAGTTTGTCACCTTTACCTGCTCTTCCAGTCTCCGCTATGGCCCCTTCTGTGCAGTCGAAGGCTGTTGAAACAATTCCTTCTCCTCCTCCGCCTCCTCCTGTGTGTTCATGCCATGGTATCTGGTTGCTGAAACTACGGCATCGCATGCCTTCAGGTTATTCGAAGTGGGGGCCCTGTCTATTCCGGTGGCCGCTTTCTTCCTGCTCACGGTGCGTGGGATCGTTTTCTTCGGTCTCCTCACTGACTTGGGGTCTTTCTCTGTTGAGGCCAAACAGGTCGTGAGCGTTTTTTTCCTCTCCGGCGTAACGCTTGTTACCCGGGCCAACTCTCCCCCCCTTCCCCGGGGTAGCGCTAACGATCGTGCCGTGGGGAAGGGGGGTGCCTGCCCCCCCCCAAACATGCTGGGAGCGGACCCTCCGCAAGCATGGTGCTGTGCTCACAGGAATGGCGTGGTCTGAGCGGCACGCATTGGTGTTCACAAACGTGTCGTGGCGCTCGCAGTCGCCGTCGTCGTCGTCGTCGTCGTCGTCGTCGTCGTCGTCGTCGTCGTCGTCGTCGGTCGTCGACGTCGACGTCGTCGTCGTCGTCGGTCGTCGGTCGTCGGTCGTCGGTCGTCGGTCGTCGGTCGTCGTCGTCGTCGTCGTCGTCGTCGTCGTCGTCGTCGTCGTCGTCGTCGTCGTCGTCGTCCAATGCTGCTGGTGATGGCTCAGCTACCGCAAGCTGGTTCGACCACTCTTTCGCAAGTGCAAAATGCGGTGGTTCTCTCTCTCTCTCTCTCTCTTCCTTCTGGCTGGTGCTCGGTCGCAGTGCGATACAGTCAGTGTGCCTAATCAAGACGCGTGTCTTCTCCAAGGTACCTTTGTGTCCTTGCCTCTGCGGTCTGTCCCTTGCCGCTTTCGTTTGCTAGTTTTTGCAAGAAAATCCCAAGTTCGGCTTCCAAGGGTCTTGCGTTCTTATGCAAGTATTTATTGTAGACCCACCGTCATGGATAAGATGAAGACTGGGCGGCCCCGCGCCTTCCCCCGCGGGCGCTGTGGTGTGCGCAGGCGTTGTGGTTCACGCAGGCAGCGAGCGTGGTGCACACTGGCGCTGCGTTGCACACGGCTGCTGCGGTGTACACAGGCGCCGTGGTGTACGCAATCGCTGTGGTGCACGCAGGCACTGGTGTACACCGGCGCTGTGTTGCACGCGGCTGGTGTGGTGTACACAGGCGTTGCGGTGTACGCAAGCGTTGTTGCGCTTGCGTGTAGAATCTTCAGGCGTTCCAATTTCCAGGGGATTCTTTCAAAATGTGTATGTAAAGCGTTTTTTTCTTTTGTGGAATACAAAGGCGCCCCAATATCTAGAATTATTCCTTTATCAAGCAAAGGCATTCTGTGAAATCCAGAGGCGCTGCGGCTTTCATAGCGACTCCTTTTCACATTCTATATCAGAGCGGGGCTCTGTGGAATCCAGAAGCGTTCCGTTTTCTATCTGGCTTCTTTCAGTCACCCTACTAAACAAATAGTTGTTTGTATGATCCTATGAAAAACACGGGCTGCCGCAGTATACGCAGGCACTGCGGTGTGCATGGGCGACGTGGCGCTGCAGTGCACGCGGCTGTTGTGGTGTGCGGAGGCACTCTGGTGTATACACAGGTGGCGCTGTGTTGCACGAAAACATTGGGCACTTTCGTGTACACAAGCGAATGACGCGCCGGTGGCGCGGACGCACCCTGGCGGGCGCACGCCGCGCCAAGGCCGCGGCTCGTCTCCATAGTTTTCACCAGCGTCGAGGTCATTCTCCTCCCCAGTGCAGCCAAGCTGTCGGCCAGCTTTCGGTCGCGGCTCGGATGCCAGACCTTAGGACGAAAAGGAGGAAGAGGAGGAAGAGGAGGAGGAGGAGGAGGAAGAGGAGGAGGACGAGGGCCGTTCCTCTTTCCTCGCTCCCTCCCCCCCCTCTCCCCCTCCCTTCCCTCCCCTCCGCCCTCTCCTGCCGCGAGCTGGCCGAGAGGCCAAGGCCGAGCAGGGCGCGCCGGCGGAGCCCAGGCGCCCTTCGGCCGGCCCTGCCGCCGAGGCCGCCCTCGGATGGCCTGCCGGTGGGCCGCCGAGGGGCCGCCGACGTGCCGCGGAAAGTCGGACGGGGAAGAGGAACGGCAGGTTCGTGTCGTGTCGACCGGCGGCAACCCCGCCGCTGGCGTTCGATGTTGAACGCCGCCGGCGACCCAGAATCGGTCGTTGGTGGACGATTTATATCGTTTCGGAAGCCGCCGATCGTTTTCAAGGTTGAAGGGTCCTCGCGGCGGCAGGAACCAAAGCCGGGATCGGCACGACACGAACCTGCCGTACACCCATGAAGACATTTTGAGAAAGTGCGTCGACTTTCATGGACTCCAGTCTGCACTTCAGACCGTGATCCTGGCGAAGGACTCAACCAATGCAGTTGTGTGTACCGTCGTTGCGCGTATCTCCTTGGGGGGATCTCTTCATGCGGCCATGAATCATGCGAAGGGTGTGCCGACATGGGCTGGGGCCGCCATGTGGGCGCTGCCACTGGGGCTTTAGGTGGGACCCACTATGGCGCCGCGAAGCTTGCGAAGGGTGTGCCGCAACGGGGCGGGGCCGCCACCGGGGCTTTCGGTAGAGCTCCCTATGGGGCTGCGAAGCGCTGTACTGGGTGGAGGCGACGCGTGGAAAGCCACCACCGAGGCCTTCGGTGGAGCTCCCTATTATGCCACGAAGCGCTGTACTGGGTGGAGGCGACGAATGCGACAGCCGCCACCGAGGTCTTCGGTGGAGCTCCCTATGGGGCCACGAAGCGCTGTAGTGGGTGGTGGGGAGGAGACGCATGCGAACACCACCACTGGGGCCTTTGATGGTGATGATGATGATGATGATGATGATGATGATGATGATGATGGTGGTGATGGTGATGGTGATGGTGATGATGATGATGATGATGATGATGATGGTGGTGATGATGATGATGATGATGATGATGATGATCATGATCATGATCATGAGCATGATGATAATTACAAAAATAATGATAATGATAATGATAATGATGATGATGATGATGATGATGATGATGATGATGATGATGACGATGATGATGATGATGATGATGTTGACGATGCTGATGATGATGATGATGATGATGATGATGACGATGATGATGATGATGGTGCTGATGCTTATGCTGATGCTGATGCAGATGCAGATGCTGATCCTGATGATGATGCTGATGCTGATGCTGATGCTGATGCTCATGCTGATCCTGCTGATTATTACACTGAAGGTGCTGATGATGCTGATGATGATGATGACGACGATGACGATGACGCTGACGATGATGCCGCTGCTGCTGCTGCTGATGATGATGATGTTGTTGCTGCTGATGATGTTGACGCTGATTATGATGCTGATGATGATGCTGATGCCGATGACGGTGATGATGATGATGATGATGATGATGATGATGATGCTGATACTGCTGATGATGCTGTTGATGATGAAAATGCTGATGCTGATGCTGATGCTGATGCTGATGATGATGCTGCTGATTATGATACTGCTGCTTATGATGCTGATGATGTTGTTGATGATGATGATGATGCTGCTGATTATGATCATGATCATGATCATGATCGTCATCGTGATCATGGTGAGGGAGGAACAGGAGGAGGTGCAGGAGGAGGAGGAGGATATCTATGAGGAGGAGAAGGGGGAGCAGCAGCAACAGGAGGAGGAGGAGCAGCAGCAACAGGAGGAGGAGGAGGAGGAGGAGGAGGGAGAAGAAACGATTTGGGCGGAAGGGGGAGGGGTGGGAGATGGGAGCCGGATCATGCCTAGGAGGGCGGGGCGGAGGCGGCAGGCCGGATAAGAGGACGGCCTGGAGCCCGCGGCGACGGTGCGCGGCCCTAGGTGCGCCGTGGAGTTCGCGAGCGCCCACTACTCGGTGCTGGAGCGCGCCGGCGCCACCGCGGACATCGGGGGGCTCGTCGTCGTCTTCGTTATCTTCGTGGTCGTCGTCGCCGTCGTCGTCGTCGTCGTCGTTGCCGTCGTCGTCGTCGCCGTTGTCGTCGTCGCCTTCCTCCTCGTTCTCCTTCTTCTCCCCCTCTCCTCCTCCTCCTCCTCCTCCTCCTCCTCCTCCTCCTCCTCCTCCTCCTCCTCCTCCTTCCTAACATGGGGAAGGTTCCGCAGACTCCCGAGCAGGTAACCAGGAGGATTCCACCCAGGGGACACTCTGCGTCCTCCTCGTCGTCGTCCTCCTCCTCCTCGCGGCCTGTGTGGAGCGCCGCCGCCGCCCGTCCAGCCGCCCGTCCAGCCCACCAGCCTGCCCATCAGGACGAACTCGTCTCACAGGGTGTGCTCTTCCTCCTCCTCCACCTCCACCCCCTCCTCGTGCCCTTTCTCCTCCTCCTCCTCCTCCACCTCCACCTCCTCCACCTCCACCTCCTCCTCGTGCCCTTTCTCCCCTGCTCGTCCCGCGTTCCTCGCCGCCTCGCCCCTCGTGGTCGCCCGCCCCCCTCCCTGGCGGGAGCGGCAGCGCGGTGCCGCTGCCGTGGCCGATCCCGTCCCGCGTCGCTCGGGCCAGGTCCGCCCCGGGGCCCTGGCCAGAACGCGCCCTGGGGGCAGAAGTCCCGGGAGCATCGGGCCAGTTGCCTTGGATCTCATAATTCTGGACGCCCGAAATGGGTACTCCAGATTTCGTAATAGAAGGGAGGGGGTCTGGACCCTCCCAGACGAGCCATTTCAGACCTCCCCCGTGGGAGAACCCTCCAAAACATCGTCCCCAGACCCCCCCAGGCCCTCCAAGATAGCCTGGAAGAGACCCCCCCCGAAATGAGACCCCCCTCCCTTTATTGCGAAATCTGGAGTACTTTGGATCTCATAATTCTGGACGCCCGAAATGGGTACGGAAAGAATGGGCACAATGCCCAACAGCAGTTCCTGTTCATCTTGAACAGGACTCGCTGTCCACGCCGCCGCGGCATGTGTCCATTCGAGACAGGAGGCCGCCTGCCCAACAGCGGCCGCTGTTGGTTTGGGACAACATTTGTTGTTGTGCATTGTACCCATTCTTTCCGTGCCCATTTCGGGCGTCCAAAATATTATTGGGGGGGATCTACTTTTGTGGGGTGTCGAACGGGCCTCGTCAAACAAGATTGTTTGGAGGTCTCGACGCTGGACCCGTTTTGCACCGCTCTCGGGGGGGTCCCAGACGCGCTGTCAAACACTTTTTGGACCCGCCCTCCGCTTTTGTAAGATGTTGGGGTATGTTTTTGATCCCCCACCTCTGGCAGCTCTCTTTTTTTTTTTCTCTCTCTCTCTCTCTCTCTCTCTCTTTTTTTCCGGACGGGGCCAGGACGAGGACAAAAATCCGTTCCAGAGCGTTTCGGAGCGCTCTCATTGCGTTCGGAACGCTCTGAGACGGCCGCGGCGCCCGAGACATCCTCCAGAGCCGCCAGATCTCAGAGATTCTCGATTTATCGTCTCCCGATTTTGCTCCAGCTTCGTCTTACTCCGGCAGCCCTCTCTTTTCCCGCTCCTCTTGCTTCTGCTCCTCCTCCACTGTGCTCCCATCATGGTCGGTGCCCTACGGTTGTTGCGCCCCATGGGCGGTGGCCTGTTGCTCCCTATGGTGCCCTCCGTTGCCCCATGGTTGGTGCCCATGGTTGGCCCACATGTGTGGTGCCAGCTACGCTGCGACCCATCGTAAAAAAATAAGGATTCGCATCGCCAAGGATGCCTGCCTGGCTTGCCGATGCCGCAATCCCTCGTCAACAAAGCCGTAGGATTCGCGTCGCGAAGGCGAGCTTTCTGCCCTCCGAGCATGCTTTCGCTCGTGCACGCTCACACGGAGCGCTTGTCGTGCTGCTTCGGCAGCGCCCCCGCTCGTGCAGGCTCGCGCGGAGCGTCTGTCGGGCCGCTTCCATGTGGTTGGCGCCCCAAAGTGCGCCCTGTCAATCGTAAGCGATTTCTGGTAGGCAGCCTGCACGCCGGGAGTGCAAGAACCTTCTATTTTGGCCCCACGCGCTGGCATGACCATGCCCTCCAAGGTGGTCGTGGGCACGGTGGCCGGGCGCATATGGACAGGCCGTGAAGCCAATCTCTGTGCTAAGACATACAGACGCACACTCGCAGCAGGCTTTGGCGAGAAGGGGCTCCCGTCCCATCCCCCAGTCGTCCTCTCCCTTATCCCCCCCTTTCCTCTTCCTCCTCCTCCTCCTCCTCCTCCTTTCCTCCTCCTCCTCCTCCTCCTCCTCCTCCTCCTCCTTCCTTGTTCCTCTTCCTTTTCTTCCCTCATCTCTCCTCCCTTCCTACCTCTCTTCCTCTCTCCTCCCGTCTCCCCCCTCTTCCCTCCTCCCCCCCTCACCCCCTTCGCCGACGTGTGCGCGCACGTGCGGGACAAGGGCTTGCAGATCGCGGGGCCCTCCTGGGACATGCTCGAGCTGGGAGGTGCCTGCCCTGCATGCCGCCGGCTTTGCCCAAGGTGCTCGGTGGCCTCCTCATCTCTACTACTGTCAGGAGGGGAAAAAGCACACAGACACAATTAATCGTCCATTCCCAAGAAAATATGGGAAAATATGGGAAGTGGGGGGGGAAGACAAAAACCCAGAAAATATATGAAAATATGGGGAATCTTTTTATTTGTGTGTATTTATTTGCGTGTCCTGGGGCCCCTTCATACTGGGGCGACTGGAGCTCCCCCCCCGGCTCGCTCGGGAATGCGGTCTTCGCAGGCGGCTCGGGCCCGGCGGCGGCGCTCCTCGAGCTCGGGCGCTGGGGCCGGGCGGCCGTGCAGCTCTCGCTTGCAGGGCACGCCTCGGCGGGCGGCCTGCCGGGCCCGTGCCCTGCCCTCTCCGGGGGGTCGGGACCTCGCAGCGGCACGCGCTCCTGCTGGCGGTGCGGCTCTTCGGCCCCAATCTGCAGTAGGTACACATGGTTCCTTTCTAATTCTTCGAGAGGTCCTTGGTTTTTGGGGGGCCAGGATCCTTCCATTGCTAATTCTTCCATCCTGGGCCTCTTCCTGGCCACTAGGGGGCCAGGAACAATTAGAAACGAGCAGAGTTAGAAATGAGCACGATTAGAAATGAACGACGTGTATGTCGTCACGGACCTGCCTGCGCTGGAGATGCGGGCTGCTTCGTGGGGCCCTGTGCTCCAGGGCGCGGCTGCCGTTCACGCCGCCGTGAGGCGCAGCCTGCGGTCGCAGGTGTCGCGGCCGCAGGGGATCTGGATACCTGCGCAGGGTGGTTTACAGGACTGTCCGGACCGCTCGCTCAGCCCCTTTTCTTTTCCTGGGCAATCTGTGGGCAGATCGGTTCGCTAATCGTGGCGCTGACGTCTACGCTGGGCCCAAGGTGCACCAGGAAGTCTACAAGCTTGAGCTGCCGTTCGCGAAGCAGTTGTCGACCTGTACATCGGCGGGGTGATGCAGCGCATTCCCGAGAGGCGGCAGAGATGGGAGCCTGATTCGCCGGTGGTTGCTGGTCGGCTGCTGGATCCGAGGCCCGCGCCAGAGCAGGTCACGATCAATCGGTGGTCCAAAGTTGGGGTCCTAAAGGGGACCTAGGGATAGAAAGGGATCCGAGTGAGGATTTACGTTGTTTGAGGCACCCCGTCCATATGACCCCATCCCTCAGGACCCCATCTTGGAAACACCGGACCCATACTATCGCGAAGCTGAGCGACGGTACCTACATCTGCAGGGGTGGGGATGTTGGTGACACGCCGGTCTCAGGGTGGCAGCAGTCCGAGTTTATCGAGTGTAATGGACACCGTCTTCGACAGGCTGGCCAAACCATCTTGCGTGTGGCGTGTGTGACTTAGTCAGGAGGCGGAGTGTCCAAGCAGCTGATTGAAGGATGCGATGGGTCCCCGAGGGGCGAGGGCAAGGGTAAAACCATTCTCTCGAACATCAATTCGCGCACGAAGAGGCTCCTCAGGGGTGTGTACCTCAAGGACACGGTTTCCCCGACGCTCCGTCCGTCTTGATTTGGAGGTGTGCCCGCACAGATGCAGCGAGTGGGCGACCGATTCTACAATACTTTAGAACAGGTCGAGACTCTTAACCAAGCACTCTCCTCTGCTGGCCAAGTGGATTCGTCGACTTGTATTGATTGTCGACGTGTTTCTGTGCACTGCCTCTGTCTTGGAGGACCTGTTGCCCGTGGCCCTCGACTGCCCGAACGCCGCGGCGTGGCCCTCCCCGCGCCTCCTGTGCGAGGGCCTGGCGGGCTTCGGCTTCGTTGCAGTAGTTGCCCGTCTGACCCTCCTGTAGGCGGCGAGCCCGTGGGGAGGTGAGAAGGAGGTGGCCTTCTCCGAAGGCTCTGAAGTCTCCCGGCCCTCTAAGAAGTGTGCCAAGCCTTCCCCGAAGGCACAGAAACCGTTCAGAAGGAGCGAGTGCTTCTGAGAAGTCCCGCCGCCTTCTGAGAAGGCCTTCTCCCTCTCTCGTCCCCCCCTTCGCTCGCGGCCGATGTTTTTTGTACGCCGCAGTGCGGCAGAGGCTCAATCCTCGCCCTGGCTTCGCCTTACTCCGGCAGCCCTCTCTCTTCTCCCGCTCCTCCTGCTTCTGCTCCTCCTCCACCGCGCCCCCATCGTGGTCGGTGCCCTACGGCTGCTGCGCCCCATGAGCGGTGCCCTGTGGCTCCCCAGGGTGCCCTCGTGGTGCCCCACGGCTAATGCCCAGGCCAAGACCCCCCCCCCGATTACGCCAAAGATCGTACGGGTGGGGGGGGGGCTGGACCCCCCCCCCTCCATGCTGTGTCGCACCCAGGCGGTTGATGCGCGGGTGGCGCGGCCGCGCCCTGGCGGGTGCACGCCGCGGTCGCCGTTGCCGTTGCCCTCTCGCCCTCCCCCCCTCCCCCGGGGCAATGACCGTTACCTGGGGATGAAAACAAAAAGGTCACTAACACGCTCGGCGATGTGCTTTTTTGCTTATCGGCGGCGAGGGAGGGGGAAGCGAGGAGGAGGCCTTCTCAAAAGGCAGCGGGGCTTTCAGAAGCCCCGCCGGCCCTCAGAGGTTTGTCTATGCCTCGGGGGAAGGCTTAGAAAACTTCTCAGAAGGCCGGGGAACTTCCGAGCCCTCTGAGAAGGCCCGCCCGTTCTCGCTTCCCCCCTGGGCTCGCCGCTGATTTTCGCAACGCGGACCCCTTTCTGAGATCGGCTTCTCGTCTTGAGTTGTTTATGATGGTTCTGGGGCCTAGCAAGGGCCTCAAGAGTCCGAAAACAGTCCCAGCCGACCCGTCGTGTGCTTGTTTTCACGGCGCAGGGGGAGCCTGTGTCAGCTTCCCCCACCAGGGACCACTGCGCAAGCACGATGCGGCACTGGGGCAACCGAGAAGTTCTACGCTGGCATACGTTTGCTCGGCGGCACCCCAACATACTGATACTATGTGTGCGTCGCCCCTCCAGGGGTGACGCTCGCACCGAGAAATTTCATAGTACATGCTTGGTGGCGGGCGCTTTCTGGCCGTACCGCTCGGGAAACGATCTACTACAAAATGGGTATACTACATGTTCGGGTCGGACGCGCGCCTCCGAGGAGGACATATAGCATTAGTAAGTCTCTGTGCGTCGAAGCGGATCCAGCCTTGGCCGCAAAGAGGCCCAGTTAAGGCCACCACGCGTCTCAGGCCCAAAACCATTGCCGCCCACCAGCTTCCCCCACTGGGGACCACTGCGCGAGCACGATGCGGCACTGGGGCAACCGAGAAGTTCTACGCGACGTGCGCTTCTTGCAGAGCGGGGGGTCGCTTTCTCGTCGCCCCGGGCCCGCTGCCTGGTTGCCCCGTGGCCCGAGGACGGGCACCGGAGGCCGAACTCCTCGAGGCACACGCGAATCTCGATGGAGACCATCAGATCGTCGGAGACCTGGGCAGGGAGGAGGAGGAGGAGGAGGAGCAGGAGGAGGAGGAGGAGGAGGAGGAGGAGGAGGAGGAGGAGGAGGAGGAGGAGGAGGAGGAGAAGGGAGGAGGAGGAGGAGGAGGAGAAGGAGGAGGAGGAGGAGGAGGAGGGAGGAGGAGGAGGAGGAGGAGGAGGAGGAGGAGGAGGAGGAGGAGAGGAGGAGGAGGCAGGAAGGAGGAGGAGGAGGAGGAGGAGGAGGAGGAGGAGGAGGAGGAGGAGGAGGAGGAGGAGGAGGAGGAGGAGGAGGAGGAGGAGGAGGAGGCGGAGGAGGAGGAGGAGGAGGAGGAGGAGGGGCAGGAGGAGGAAGAGGAGAAGGAGGAGGAAGCGGAGGAGGAGGAGGAGGAGGAGGAGGAGGGAGGAGGAGGAGGAGGAGGAGGAGGAGGAGGAGGAGGAGGCGGAGGAGGAGGAGGAGGAGGAGGAGGAGGAGGGGCAGGAGGAGGAAGAGGAGAAGGAGGAGGAAGCGGAAGAGGAGGAGGAGGAGGGAGGAGGAGGAGGAGGAGGAGGAGGAGGAGGAGAGGAGGAGGAGGAGGAGGAGGAGGTGCAGGAGGAGGAGAGGAGGAGGCGGAGGAGGAGGAGGAGGAGGAGGAGGAGGAAGGGCAGGAGGAGGGTCAGCAGGAGGAGGAGGAGGAGGAGGAGGAGGAGGAGGAGGAGGAGGAGGAGGAGGAGGAGGAGGAGGGGCAGGAGGAGGAGGAAGCCCCCCCTCTCGCCGCAGGACCTCGTTGTCTGTCGCCGGGGGCCCTGGCCCGGCTACCCGGTGCGTGCCCGCGTTGCAACGCGCGACGGCACCGCGACCGCTGGCCAGGACCCCCCTGCGGCGTGCGCGCTCGTGGTCCGGCCGTCGCCGCCCTTCGCAGGAGATTTCTCTCCCCCAGCCCCTGATTTTTTCGACGAAAGCTGCAGCTGCTCAGAAAAGGAGGGAGACCCTGGCATACACCCCCAGGGGCCTATTCGGACGCACCCCTATCGCCCCCATGATATTAGTGTATCCCAGGGTTGGGCCTCAAATGTTTGGTCCATTCTGAAACCCGACGCAGCCTGGGATAGGGGGCGACATATCCCCGGGTAACCGTGGTCGTCGTCGTTGCCGCCTTCGTCGATCAGGCTGGCCAGCGTTGGAGGGATCAGATAGGAAAAAATGTCATGAGTCTTCGGGCGATGTGTCCTAGATGGAGTCGGAGGATCGCGCTGCATCGCTGATGCATCGGCGATGCGGCTCGATGCGGAGCCCGATTTTCTCCACGCCGACGTCGCCGATGAGACGCCGACGTCGACGATGCGGCGCGTTCTTCCGACCCCATCTACTCGGACCCCATCTATAGGAGGCCTCTGGTTGCCGCCGTCGTCGATCAGGCCAGGCGGCGCTTGGGGGGGATCAGATAGAACAATCAAGTCCCGGACCCTCGGACGACGTGTCGAGCTCTTGTTGTTTCAGCCTGGGCGCTGTTCCTCGATGTCGGCCTCCAGGGTGCGCCCTCGGGCCCCGCGGGGGCCATCACACGCGAGTCCGGGCCGGGGGCTGGCCCCGGGGGAAGGGGGCGGGACCTCCCGGGGGCCGCGCACCGGGCAGAGCACCTCGGGAAACGTCTGGGGAAGCTGGCGGCGCGCGGGAGGGGGTGCTTCGGGAGGGTGGGCAGCCTTCCTGAGAGGGCAGGAGGGGGGGCCCGCTCGGGAAGGCGCGTGGGCTTCTCAGAGGCCCCCCAGCAAGCCTCTCAGGAGCCTGCGCGCCCTTCTGAGAGGGCCCCCGCCTTCCCAAGAAGCCCTCCGCCTCGTTGGGGGGCAATCCCTCTCGAGGCCAAACCCGCGTGCCGCCGAAGAGTGACCGACCCGTCGAAGAACAGGACCGACGACCGACGGACGCCCCACGAAGCCTCGACGTCCTTGAGATCCTCGACTCGAGCCCTGACCCTCGGTCGATGGACCGACGGATCGATCCAATGGTCCGTCGGGTTCTGGGGGGACCGTTTTCGGGTCCCGGGGCCGTCAGGTGTGGATCCTGGGAGACGCAGGCCCCGGGGGAGGGGGCGAGACTTCTGGGGGCCGTGCGTCGGCGTCGGTGTCGTCGTTGTCGTCGGCGTGGGCTTCGGCATTTTCGGTCTCTGGTGGCTGCTTCCCGGCTCCGGGACCGCCAGACATGGATCTGGGATAGGAAGCTGGCCAGGACAGTCTCCAAGAGGAGTCCTGGCATTCATTTTGGTCACCGTCGTCGTCGTCGTCGTCGTCGTCGTCGTCCTCGTCGTCGTCGGCGTCGTCGTCGTCGTCGCTTTCGTCGTCGTCGTCGTCGTCGTCGGCGTCGTCGTCGTCGACGTCGACGTCATCGGCATCGTTGTCGTCGTTGCCAGCTGTCTGGCGAGGCTGGGAGACAGAGGAGGACAGAGCAGCAGCTCCTCTCTGTCGCAGCGCCGCGGAGGCGATCCCTTGTCCGCGCCGCACGCCGGCGCCCCACTGGGCCACGCGCGCGCGGCTGCGGGACGCACCCACGCCCGGATGCGTCGTTTCCGTTTGGAGGAAAAAGAGGGGGCGATAGGGCCCCCTCCGTCCAGTCCCACAATCCCGAGGCTCAGGAGGTCGTGGAGGATCGAGGACTAGGGGTGGAGGGCGTCCGTGCCTTTCACATCGCTCATGTCACTTGGGACGAAGTCCTTTGTCATGTAACGTCGTACATGTAGTGTTTTTTTCTTGTGTGCCGCGCAGTTGGCGGCGCACTTTCGTGTGTAGCGGAGCACATGGTTCATTTGTCTCTAGCCTTGGGGCCTGGGGACGGCATACGGAGTATGTAGCATGTATCGGCGTATTGTGGTACATTGTGTACGTCGAAACAGCAAATCAGATAGGTATTGTGCTCGAAAGCCAATCGTAGTCACGATGGACAGTCGCCGCGCACGCGGCGCTTGCGTGTCCTTTCCATCGTAGCTGTAAGCCCACATTTGTTGCACGAGAGGGTCGGCGATGGTGAACCCATGATGATGTAGTAGTTTGCAACAGCCGCGTTGCCATACATTTCCGATAATTACACATATATGTATATTGTAAATATAAGCCACCAGTGAGTACAGGGTAGTTGTGGAGTTGCAGGTTGTCATGTAGCTCGGTTCCGTGGCCTGTAGTAGACCTTAATTTGCGTGTGCAGGTCTGACGCTTCAGGTATCCGATTGTTGGAACAGTCGTACCAGTATACAATGTGACGTAGTTCTGGATGGTAGTAGGGTTCCAGGCAACATGGTATGTTATCCGTGTTGCCGAGTTCCAAGCGTGTGTCCCCACGATCATGCACTTGCGTGCCGGTATCCAGTAATTGTCCGACTGGTAGAGTTATCGGTATTTCTTGACCTTTCGTGTGGTCTTTGTGGCCAGTTGTCTATAGTTACGTGCCTTGTGCCTTCTTCGAACGTTGGTTCGTATATGTCGATGCGCTTGTCGTACAGATCCCCTAATTTGTGCTCCAGTGAAGATTTGGCGTCCGCGATCTTGAAATACGTCTTGTCGTCCATAATGTGCGCAACTCTGCACACAACTCGTATCCAGATCTTCTGGCAAGCGGCACCAGCCAGAAGACGACGGCCAAGACTCGAGAGTACTTCATCCAGCTGTCGGTGTGCGTCTCGCTGCGAATCAGAACATCCAAACCACTGTACGCCGCCTCCTGCACCACAGACCCGAACACGATCCGCGTCAGTCGCCAGATGCGGTTGCGCGCCCAGAAGCGGCCTATGCTGTAGTATCCCCTGCGGGCAGCTTGCAGCCTGCGCCGAAGCTCAGTCTGCGCGCTGCCCGTGATCGAAGTCTGGATGCCGAGAGCCACGTTGTCGTGCTGCATCACTCCCGCAATGGCCTCAGCGCCGCTGAACAGCTGGCGCACCTCGTTCTTGGAGCCGCGGCCTAGGAAGCAGGGTGACACCGAGCTCTTAGACGGGTTGTGTGTGTAGCCGTAGGGCTCTAGGGCACGCTTCAGCTCGTAGTGGGAGTGGCGGGACACGTAGCCAGCGTTCCGCGCCGAAACTACGATGCTCGTGTGGTTGGTGTCGTCGGCGTAGATCCGAGTGCCCAAAGGTACCGCAGCGTCCAGTAGCGGGCACCACGCCGTGCATAGCGCCTCGCTCGGCCAGATCGTGGTGTCGATGTCCGCACGCGGGGTGGGCGGACGGAGTGGTAGGGCCTTCCACTCCGAGTAGGTCGTCGGAGTCTCGGGCAGCTCGTAGGTCGCCCAGGCGGCAGCGCGAAGCCGTAGAAGCCATGCCGCGATGGGCTCGCGGAAGGTCCGCGCGAAGAACAGCGCCGCGGGGGTGTCGCACATGAAGGCGCCGCAGCGATTGTGGAGGTCCTGGTCCCCGTCGGCCCCTGAAACGCGGAACGTGCTCAGCTCGTGACGCTGGTGGAAGTACTCCTGCTCCTCGGGGCGCACCGCCGTCTCGACCTTCTGGCGCAGGGCGGTGGGAGCTGAGGAGCCAAAGGCGTTACTCATGTCCTCCTTCGTAGTGAGGGTTGAAACGCCGAGGCGCCGAAGACGACCGAGAAGCCCTTCTTGGCACAGGAGAGCGCCCTCTCGGTTGCGACCTCGCTGATCGCCGTGCTCTCGAGGTGGTGGTTCGTCAGGTGGAGCACGTTGTAGTTGAGCTTTGCACCGGGCTGTCCCGACCCTACACAGGCCATGGATGAAGCGCTTGGCGTTGAATTCGGACTTCCCGTTGTGTTTGTCCAGCCCCATAGTGACCGAGTGGTGCCAGATGAGGGGCACGCGCCTGACCCTCCTGATGTGGGCGAGGATGGTCTTCAGGGCGCGCTCTGTGATGGGCGCCTCGATCTCCTCGTGTACCTGTCCTAGCCCGCTCCGATCGCCAGCGAGACGATGCCGAAGCTGTAGCTCGACTCGAGGCTGAGGAGGTCCGTCAGCTTCCTCCTCGTCTTCATCTCCAGGGCGCCGTGGGCGCCGTCGCCGTCGTCGGCCATCATGCCGACGCCAGGGCTCGAGTGCAAGTCGAAGTACTTCCGTGGGGGCACTGTGGGGGGGAGCAGCACGACGTCGTGACGACTTCGATAACACGTCAACCAACTTCTTGAAGTCCTCGCGGCTGGTGTCGAGGTGGTCGTACGCGTACATCGGGGCGCTGGGCAGGGAGTCCAGGTATTGCTGATGATACTTCGTGAACTCGATCGTGACCGCATCGACGCCGCCGTTGGCGCCGACCTGGGCGAAATGCTTCGCGATCTCGATCCGCCGTGGGAGGAAGCTGTCCGCGACGTTGTAGCGCCTACGCCGCGGCCCCCTGCACGGTGCTGCCAGCAGGTGGCCCAAGCGCCATACCTCGGCAAGCTGCCGACGCTGCCACGTCTCCTGCACGTCGCAGACGAGGTGCTGCACCTCGCTGTCGATGCGAACTCGGCGGTGGCCACGCAGCGCGCGCGAAGCCCTGGCCAGAGCGCAGGTCATGTCCGTGGCGCCGCAGCCCGCCTCTTGAAGGGCGCGTCGGTCTGCCAGAAGTCGAAGCCGCTCCTCCCGAAGTCGCTGAACTCGCTGCGACACTGGCGCGCGCCCAGCGGAGTGCTTCTGGGCCACCGGCTGCAGCTGACCGATCCAACGCTCCCGGGCCTCGTCGGGGGCCTTCGCAGCGTGCAGCTCGTGGAAGCAGTCGGGGTGCTGCGAGAAGGCCTCCTCCAGTTCGCGAGCGAACGCCGAGGCCCCCTTGCCTGACTGCAGCGCCTGGCTCAGCCGATGGAAGTCCCACTGCGTCCTCGTCCGCGCGGGAGGCGCCTGCAGCGTGTAGATCACCTTCATCAAGATGGGAACGTGGTCCTGTAGACCAGGTCGCGGTATCAGCTTCAGGCGCAGGTTGGCGCTCTTGAGCGGAATCACCGTCTGCACTGTCGGGGCCTGCCACGCGAAGATGGCGACGTGGTCGATGTGCGTGGCGCACCGAACTCCGTGGAATGCCGGCCCAACCTCGAAGTCGCTCGTCGTCGCTCTGAGCGCGAACCTCTCGAGCAACTCTAGCATCCTGTCGGCTGCGTAGTGCTGGACCTGGCGCCTTGAGGTCCGAGAGCGGGCGAGCCCACCTGCTCGTAGACCTGCGCACCTCGCTGGCGAATGCCCAGTCCGTCGTTGAGGTCGAAGCCAAAGAAGACAGCGGACCGCCCTCGAACCCAGGTGAGGGTCTGCTCGATCCAGTTGCATATCGCATCCACAGTGTCCCTGTATGCTGCATGCGCGGTGCCCATCGTGACCGTCTCGGCTGCACTTCGACGGCTCGACGGTCTCGGCGGAAAGTAGGCCATCGGCACCAGGATATCAAACCGTCCGCTCCGAAGGCGTGTCAAAGAAACTCGGCCTCTCAGCTTCGCTGGTACTGGAGGGGTGTCGACCAGGTGCGGCGTGCGGAATACCCGTTTGCGTAGCAAGATGGTGCAGCCGCAGCTCTTGTTTGTGTATGGGCTGGGGCTCCAGCCAGAACGAAGGGCAGTATGGAAGGGCAGCGGCGTCCGAAGAGTGTCGACATCCCGTCGCTTCTCGCCAGTCCCGCTCAGACATGTCACGTCCACATAAGCGAACATCTGCAGATCTGTCGCGAAGTCTCTCCTCTGAGCTCGAATTCTGGGCACTCCAGTGGACAAACTTCATCACCTCGAAATATTCCAGAGCAGCAATCAGGGAGGAGGGGAGGGCACGAGGAGGAGGAAATGGGAGGAGGAAATGGCAGGAGGAGGAGGAGAAGAGGGGGAGGAGGAGGAGGAGGAGGAGGAGAAGAGGGGGAGGAGGAGGAGGAGGAGGAGGAGGAGGAGGAGGAGGGGAGGAGGAGGAGGAGGAGGAGGAGGAGAGGAGGAGGAGGAGGAGGAGGAGAGGAGGAGGAGGAGGAGGAGGAGGAGGAGGAGAGAGGGGGAGGAGGAGGGGAGGAGGAGGAGGGGAGGAGGAGGAGGAGGAGGAGGAGGAGGAGGAGGAGGAGGAGGAGGAGGAGGAGGAGGAGGAGGAACAGCACAGCAGCGACGTCGCCAGGAGCCGCCGCTTCACCGCGGGAGGAGGGCGCGGCGCCGTGCGGGGCGCGGAGTAGGAGTGCGCATCGGTTGGCGCCTGCCGCCCCGGAATCACCGCCTCGGGCTGGGGGGGCTGGAGAAGGAGGAGGAGGAGGAGGAGGAGGAGGAGGAGGAGGAGGAGGAGGAGGAGGAGGAAGGAGGAAGGGCGGAGGAGGAGGAGGAAGGAGGAGGAGGAAGGGGCGGAAGGAGGAGGAAGGAGGAGGAATGGGGATGTGTATGCTCGAGGCCGGTGCGCAGCATGAGCCAGCGGCGGGCGCCCGCCGAGGACTTCGTGATGTACAGCGGGGAGGTGCTCTTCGGAAAGGAGACCGTGCCCGCCGGGTGCACCCCAGGGGTGTGTCTTGTCTGCGTCTGCGGGTCAGGGATGCGTCCTCTCTACCAGGTAGGGAGTGCAAGGGAGGAACTTTTTTTTTTCTACAGCCGCAGGCGGAAGCGCCAGCGGCGGAAGGTCGCGAACGGGCCGCGGACGCGACTAAATTACCTAACGCGCGCAAGGGAGGAGCACAGTGCCATATCAGAGCAGTGCTGACCGCAGTTGCGGGGAGCAGTTCACCAGAGCAGTCTGATCTTGACTGTAACCGCGGGGAGCAATTCACCAGCTCAGCGCGAGCTCGACCAAAGCATTGCGAGGCCACTCCCGGGTCCCGGTGACTGTCTCCGTGGCGCGCCGAGAGGGGAAGGCACAGGGGGGGCGGGCCTTGTCGGAAGGCTCAGTACGCAGAGCTTAGCAGAAACCGTGAGAGCGTCTGAGAAGCCCCGCCGCTTTCCGAGAAGTCCCGGCCGCGCGCGTCCACCGTCGGCGCGCCGCCGAGTGTAGTGCGTCCGTGCCACGTTGACGCAGCGGCGATCGGGGCGCGGGCATTCCAGGTTGAACGCCGCTGGTTGCAAGGAGTTGGCCGTTGTCGAACGACGTCGAAAGCCGCGCTGTCGGGAAGCGGCGATCGCTCAAGGTTGAACGGTCCACGCGGTGTCAGAAGCCAACGCCGACGTCGACAGGGATTTGCCGTGCGGTGGCATTGGCGGAAATGATGGCTGATTTCCGTCGTCTTCGAAATGCTGAGGTCGGCGTCTGGGGTGCGTTGATTGTTGCCAGACTTGGAACCCTCGTTGGCTCCAAAACCTTAGTTTTTCCCGCGCTTGCAGCTCCGATCGCACGCACGTGTTTACAGTCCAGTATGTACAGATTTAAGAACACATCTTTTCCGAACGAGGGCTTTGATGTCTCACGAAGACCACAGAGATCGACGCTCTGGGCAGAAGAGCGGCTCACCAGTAAACCCTGCGAACTTCGCAGGTTGAGGCATTGCTTTCACACGTGTTACTGGCGGGCCGCTCTGCAGTTTATCTGGAGTTTCTGCATGTAGAAGACATGGCGTGTGCGAATGGGTGAGAGCAGAATGAGCGGGAGGCGGTGGTGCCGCAGGTGAAGATGAAAAGCATTAGGATCAGGAGGCCGAGGCTCGCGAGGGTGAGGCCCAGGAGAGTTAGGGTCACGCGGCACTCCATTGGCCTTCAACGTTCAGACATCCGGCTCCACGCGCCCCCACCCTGGCAACCTCCACCCTCTCCTCCACATCCATCCAGGAAATTTCGCTAGGTCCCTGGAGGTCGTTCCTCCGTCGCCTCCTCCTCCTTCTCCTCCTCCTCCTCCTCCTCCTCCATCTCATCCATTTCTCCTCCTCCTCCTCATCTTGCTCCTCCTCTCCTCCTCCTCGGCCTCCAAGAGCTCTCTCCGTTCCAGATTCGGATGAATAACTTTACCCTGTCGCACCCCGAGGACAGTCGGAGGGGTGGGCTGGGCGTTTCGCTGGAGACTTCTTGACCGTCTGTGAGCCTGAAGCTTACAAGCCGGCAACAATTTCACGTATTGAGCCTGGACCGCTTCCAATGTGTGGCTCTCGCCTCAGCCCCGCGCGAAGTCGTTCCAAATCTCTGCAAGAGTTTCACCAAGTGAGGGCGGGTCGTTTTCAACCTGTGGCTCTCGCCTTAGCGCCGCGCGCATTCGTTTCAAACATTTGCAAGGGTTTTACATATTCTCATGGTTAACCTATGAGAAATGTTTTTTGGTGAGCGTTTCATGGACGTCAGGGAGCAAGAGTTGCGTTGATTCGCGGCGTTGGCGTCCCAGGATAGATGTTCTGGCACGATTCAGGATCGACAAGACGCAACAGTCAGGTTGACACGTGGCGTTGAAATCCTGAGAATGGTGTTTGGGTGCCCTTCAGGATTTTCACACGATTGTCCCCCAACGGGGCACCTCCCCCAATGGAAATCAATCCTGTGGGGGCTTTCGAAGAGGGAACTTGGAGGGAGGGTGTATTCCAACATCGTTGGTGGGTCTTGGGTTTGTGTTGGTCCTCCTCTCTCTCCTCCTCCTCCTCCTCCTCCTCCTCCTCCTCCTCCTCCTCCTCCTCCTCCTCCTCTGCCTCCTCGTACCACTCCTCTTCCTCCTCCTCCTCCTCCTCCTCCTCCTCCCCCTCCTCCTCCCCCTCCTCCTCCCTTCCGCCGTCCTTCTACGCCTTCCTCCCTGATTATCTTCGTCATCGTCCTCGGGGGCCTCCCTCAGGGGGCGATTTGGCGACTTTGCGAGGGTGTCTCCAGCAGGAGCCCCAAACTGGGACACGCCGGGGTCGACGTTTGCGAGGATGTCTTGAGCGAGAGCCCCGGACTGGGACACGCCCAATGCGCCGCTGGGCGCCCCGGCTCGCGTCTGAGGGCCTCCTTGGAGAGGCTCGGGGGGCCGGTGTTTGAGGATGTCCCACGCGAGGTTGCCAGTTTGGATTTTATCGCCAGATTCTGCCTCTGAGGGTCTCCTTGGGGAGGCTCGGGAGGCTGGTTTTCTGAGGATGGCCCACGCGAGGGCGCCGCGATTTCCAGGGAACGCAACAAGTGGGCCTCTGATGGCCTCCAGGGTAGGCTCGGATGGCCGGTTTTTGAGGATGTCCCACGCGAGGGCGCCTGTCTGGAATGTGTCGCCAGATTTCCCAGATTCCCCTGAAGCGAAACAGGGGGGCGGTTGGCAGGCCCAGGGCGCCGGGGGGCAGCATGATGTGAGTTCTTAAGACAAGCTCCCTCAAATTACCGCCGGGCTGGACGAAGCTGAGAGGACGGCGTAGATAGGATGAGGCGGGCAATGGGAAGGAGGATGAGGAGGAGGAGCAAGAGGAGGAGAGGCAAGAGGAGGAGGAGGAGGAGGAGGAGGAGGAGGAGGAGGAGGAAGGAACATGAGGAGGAGGAAGGAGGAGAATCAGGAGGAGGAGGAGGAGGAGGTGGAGGAGGAGGAGGAGGAGGAGGGAGATACTCGTCATCATCGTCAGCAGCATCGTCAGCAGGAGGTGGAGGGTGGGTCGGAGAGGATGCGCGATCTCGGCAGCAGTGGGGGAGGAGGTCGGAGGTGGAGCAGAAGACGCAGTGGACGGCTGCGCGCGTGCCACCAAAGCGGCGCTTTGGAAGCCTGGCGCCTATTGCCGCGCATTGGGTCAATGCGCAGGGAGCAGGACGCGGAAAACAAATATTATGAGTGATATTCTGGGGGGGGGAGGCGGAGGAGGAGGAGGTGGTGAACTGGGCATCGGAGTTTGCTCGAACCTGCTCGCAGCGTCAGCGTCGAGAGAGGTGGAGGTTGAGCTGCCTTCGAAATAAAGTATGCGGGTCGAGCTGTAACTAAGCATCGTTGTTTACAAGTTGAGTCATCGAGCTCTCCCAGTACATGAACACATCGTCCTCGTTTGCAGGCATACGCTTTGCTACCAACCTCCGCCGTTTTACATCATCATGCCCCGTTCGTGCTGATTTCGGCTGCTATTTATTCTCGCCATCCCTATTCCTTCTCACTTGCAGTGCCCACCGTCCTTCCCATCATCATTCCTACCCCTGTTGTACCTTCCCCCATCTCTCTCTCTCTCTGCATTTCCTCCATCTCCTCCCTGCCCTGTCTCTGCCCGCTCTCTCTATATCTCTATTTCTCTCTCCTCTCTCTATATATCGCTTTCACTCCCTGTCTCTTGAATTATACCTGTCTATATATACATAGACATCTATGTCTGTCACTGCCTCCTCTCCATCTGTACCTCTCTCTCTCACTATCTCTCTCTCTCTCTCTTTCTCTCTCTCGCTCTCTTTGTGCCCCTTGTTTCCCTCTCTCTCATTATTCCTATCTCTCTTCCTCTCTCTCTACATAGGTGTATCCATCTTCCTCCCTCATTCTCTTCTTCGCTCTCAACTCCCTCTCTCTCTATCCACTCCTCCCCCATCCGTGTCCAGATCTATATGTATATAAACAAGATAGGTGTGTATGTATGTAGGTATGGATGCATGCCTGCATGTATGCTTACATATATATATGTATATATATATATATATATATATATATATATGTGTGTGCATGTCTGATATCTCCATACATTTCTTTCGCACACAGTTCCAAGCCCTCTCTTCACACCCCCACACCCCCACGCACTCTCGCTACGTGTACATATACACACGCATACCTGTCTATACATTCCCACATGCGGCAGGTGTGCATCTACAGTTGCACCTACAGAGGTACCAGTATAGGCATACCCATCTATGCATAGATATCTGCGTGCATACACACATATGGATATATATATATATATATATTCATATATATGTATGAATGTATATATATATATATATGTCGGAGGTGAGGGGGTGAGATCGAAGTGGAACGGAGAGCCCCCCTACCGGGAAATCGATTCCGGTTTCGTGTTCGTGCGTGCCGTGCGGGCGAGGCGAAGCTGCGTGGGCGGGCGAGAGAAAGTCTCCTGGGGCTGAAGCGCGGCCGGACCAAATGACTACCTTCCGGGCGGCCGGGGGCCCGCGGTGTCCCGCCGGTGTCCCGCTGGTGTTCCGTGTGGCTGAGGCGCGGCCGGACCAAATGACTCTCTTCCGGGCGGCCGGGGGCCCGCGGTGTCCCGCCGGTGTCCCGCTGGTGTCCCGTGTGGCTGAGGCGCGGCCGGACGAAATGATTCCCTTCCGGTCAACCTGGGGCCCGCGGTGTCCCGCCGGTGTCCCGCCGGTGTCCCGATTATGGTGATGATATTGATGATGATGATGGTGATGATGATGATGACGATGTTGATGTTTTGTTTTGATGATCGATATAGTGAGATCGGTAGTGATATCGATTGTGAGATTGAACGTGAGATCGAATGTCAGATCGCTTGTGAGATCGATTGTGAGATCGATTGTGATACCGAATGTGAGATCGATAATGAGATCGATAGTGAGATCGATTGTGAGACCGAATGGGATATCGATTGTGAGATCGATTGTGATATCGATAGTGAAGTCGATAGTGAGACCGAATGTGAGATCGATTGTGGAATCTATTGTGAGATCGATAGTCAGATCGATTGTGAGATCGATCGATTGAGTTAGTAGTGAGATCACTATCGGTAATGAGATCGGTAGTGATTTCGATAGTGAGATCGATGATGTGAGACCGAATGTGAGTTCGGTTGTGATATCGATAGTGAGATCGATAGTGAGATCGATAATGAGATCGAAAGTGAGTTCGATAGAGAGATCGATAGTGAGGCCAAATGCGAGATCGATTGTGAGATCGATTGTGATATCGATAGTGAGATCGATAGTGAGACTGAATGTGAGATCGATAATGAGAGCGATAGTGAGTTTGATAGTGAGATCGATAGTCAGATCGAATGCGAGATCGATTGTGATATCGATTGTGAGATCATCAGCGAGACCGAATGTAAGATCGATTGTGGGATCGATTGTGAGATTGATTGTGAGATCGACAGTCAGATCGATGGTGAGATCTATCGATTGAGATCGATTGTGAGATCGGTAGTGAGTTCGATAGTGAGATCAATCGAGTGCGACGTTGGTCCCTCCCCCTCCCCTCACCTCCTTATCACCCGAAGGGTGGTCTATGCGGTATGTACAATACTGCTTTGGCGCTTTTCCGACATTGCCGTTCGAATTATATGATTTATGATCCTTCCTTCCTGTTTTCTCTTCCTCTTCCTTGTCTCGCCCCACTCTGCGAGTTCTTCCCCGTCCTCCTCAGTTTTTTTTTTGCGGAGGCTCCTCCTTGGAGAGCCTGAAGGGGGCCTCACGACAGTTTTCAAGGGCCTCGTGGGCGCCTTTTGGGGGCCTCTGGGGGCTTCCTCGGGCCATCCTGCTTCCAACCGCGGTCTCCCTGAACGACCAGGTCACGATGTGGAATGCTTCGGGGGGCGTCTTGTGGCCATCTTTGGCCGTCATGGGGCTCTCTTCGGGCCATCTTGGAACTCAGTTGGGCCGTCTTGGGGCTTTCTTTCCTGGACTGCCCGGAAGTCCTTTCGGATAGCTTTGGGGCGATTTTCGGGCCTCCCAGGCGGTCTCGGACGCCAAGAAGACCGAAGAAAAGAGCAGTCTCAAAATCATGCAACAACCATTGAAACTTAACGTTTCTCTGCGTTTCGAATGTCTCTTGGGGGTTTTCTTTGGATCGTCTTCGGGCGTCTTCTGGGTGTCTGGGTCTTCTTGGGGCCCTCCGGGAGCGATTCGGCCGCCCTCCTGACCGATTTGGGCCTGCTGCCTCGGCCCAGCAGGGGCTTCCAGGAGCTCCGGTAAGCTTTGGGGGCCTCCTACAGGGGCGTGCAGGGGACCCCCGGGGCCACGGATCGGGGGTTCCGGTTTTGGGAGGGGTTCCCCCCCGAGGAATATGTATATATACATATGAATATAGATGGTTGTGAAGATTCCGCGCTCCCTTCTGCTTTCTCTTCATCTCCGCCCTCTCTCTTTTCACGTCTATACCATACGGGCTTTTCCCGGTACCCGTCCCCCGCTCTTGGAAGGAGAAAGACACTGAGGCTCGCGTGTCGGTGGAGATTCTCCAGAACAGCGCCTCCACGGATCTCCCCCCCCGTGGCCACGGCATCTGTGACTGTGAGGGGGCGGGGGAGGTGAGGCAGGGGGAGAGATGGCGAAGAGAGGAACCTTGACGTCCGCCGATCTAATTTTTCAATGCACTGCCGCAGACCTGTCGACCCCTTCCCTGGGGCCAGTTTGTCGTCCTCTATATCTTTTTGATAGTCCTGGGCCCGACAATGGGCCTTGGAGGCCGAAATCAACGGCAAACACCAGGATACAAAAAACAACTCATGTCGCCGGAAATCTGGGAATGGGGGGGTGGGTAGTGGGGAGGGGGGTGGGGAATGACAGTCCGGAATGATCCAGCAACGAGCGCAGAGACGTATTGAGGTGGGTCGTGTTGGCCGAGCCCTGACCAAGGTTTAACTTGGGAGCTGGCTGTCGTTTCGGCAGTTTGGCGTCGGTGGCCCATGCGGGACCTGGGCGAAGGCCTGTTGGTGTTTCTCAGTTGGTGCTGTTGACGGCGCCCCACCTGCAGAATTCAAGGGACTATACCTATGTTTGTCTTGTGAACAGCCTCTGGTACTGAGTCTTGAGCCGCCCGAGCGCCCCGTCGGAGCAGTTGTCGCGCTGTTCCACGGGTAGGAACGCCCTCGTACGGCGGATTCAGCCACCAGATCGCGGTTCGTACATGTGGCAGCACAGCGGCCGTTTACGCGCGGCAGGCCAGTTTTTGGCCTTGGAGCGCCTGGGCATGATCCAGCAAAGGACTTGGCATCGCTCGGAGGTGTGTATTTTTCTCGGCGAGGACCATCTGGGCCAAGAAACACGCGCGAAACCAAAAAATGAACGGGGAGTGGACGTCCGAGCGACGGCAAGAGGACGTCCGGGTCTCCGTGAGCGCTGTGGTGCGTTGGACCAGCTTCAACCCACCCGAAGAGACAACCGCGGCTCGGACGGGCCCATCGGGGGGCTGGCCGTTGATTTTGTTTAAAGCCCAGGGGGAGGGAAGGGAGGGGAAGGCGTGGGGGGGTGATGTAGGAGGAGAGGGGAATGGAGGGGCATCGAGTTTCGAGCTATCCGACAAAGCCTTGCATGGAAATGGCATGGGCTGCGCTGCCCAGTCTTGCCCAGGAGCTCAGGCCATCGATTTGCCGGCAACCTGTTGCGAGATTTTCTCGGCGGTGGGGCTGTACATACTTGTCCCGTGTCGCATCGCCGTTTGTTCCGACTCGCGGCCTTACATCCCCGTGAACCAAGTTTATAACAAAAGTGGCACAGTATGGAAGCCGAACAGATGTTGAGTCCGACCAGGCGGGGCCCGTTGCATCAAGTGACATCCGCCTGTCAATGTTACGGAAAACCACATCGTCTGCATTGCGCGTTGCATGTTAGCCATCCGACTGGTGGGAACGAAACCGCTAGGCAGAACGTGGAACCGCCCACGCCAGCGGCCCTGCGAAGGATGAACTTGGAAGAGCACCCGGGCATTAAGTGGCGTCCGCCTCCCAATGTTGCCACTGGGCGCGCAAGCCATGACCTGGCAAATGGTGCACGCCTGCGCGCGCGGTCAACACTTGAAAGGCGAATACCCCTTAATGATCCTCTTTGGCCGTTGCCGTTTGCAGATCATTCACGGTGATCGTCTTGTTGATGTTGTTATACATTTTCCCGGCTGTGTACGTCGGTATCGTTTAACCGATCCCCATCCCCATCCCCATCCGGACCACCCGGATCCTTGCACCCCACTTGGGGATATACACTTCGAAACCCGAAGGGAACGGCCTATATTCCCATCTAGAGGGTCAATCGGCCATTGGGGCCCAGTGGGGACAGGGGTCGGTTAAACGATGCCCATTACCTCATGAGGAAGGCGCCGCGGCCCCCAGGACAATCGCCGCCTCGGGCGGGGCGGGCTCGCCGTGGGGCTTGCAGCGTGGCGGCCTCGTCTGCTTGGGGTGCAGGACGCAGAGTTCGCCGTGGGCCTGGCGTGGTGTCGGCGTCGTGCACTTGGGCACGTCCAGAACCAACGGCGCGGCGACACGAGGAGGAGGAGGAGGAGGAGGAGGAGGAGGAGGAGGAGGAGGAGGAGGAGGAGGAGGAGGAGGAGCAGCAGGAGGAGGAGGAGGAGGAGGAGGAGGAGGAGCAGGAAGAGGGGGAGGAGGAGGAGGAGGAGCAGCAGCAGGAGGAGGAGGGAAGGGGGCAAGGGCTCGAAGGAACCGCTGGGGTAGTGAGTGCGGAGAGGTGCTTCCTCACTTGGCCTGCGAGCAGAGCAAGCCCCCGCCGGCCGCAGCGGCCCCTCCTGCCCGCTGGCCGCAGGCCGAGGCCGGACGCTCCGATGAGACCTCGGAGCCGGGAGCCCTCCCTCCGAGTGAGCGCCCTGCCAGGGGTCCTCTTGGAGGGCTCTTTGGGTGCAGGTGGGATTTGACCCGCGTCGGTTAGCGTCTAGAGTCGATGAGACTGCGCCGATTTAGCTTCGGTTAGCGTCGATCTAGCGTCGACTCGCTTCGACTAGCCTCGATTCGCGCCGAGACGCAAGAGCCGACAAGATGGTACGGGCGGCTCCCATGAGTTGCCACCGAAGGCGGGAGGCTTTGGCGGGCCCTCTTGGGGGCCCTCCGTTTTATTTTTTTTGAGTGGGTCGGGGCGCCCTCCTGCAGCGCCTGCGCGGACGCCGCCCTCCCCGAGATCCGATTGTTGCAGCTCCGTTTGTGTCGGGCGTTGTCGCCAGGCTTCGGGACTTGGGGCCGTCACCGGGGCCCCTGAGCCTGACGCCAGGACATGGTGTCGCAGTTTTTCCACGCCGGGCCTTCCAAGGGGGGGCCACCCCCATCCCCTCTCAAGGCGGGGCGGGGACTGCGCTGCTGGCGGCGAAAGTTTTTGTTGTTCCCTCTCGGGCATCGTGACTCTCAGCGCAGGCGCAGCCGAAAAAGCATCGCCCCCGCATCAGCAACGCATGCAGCGGACGCCCGAGAGAGGGAGGGGAAGGGAGGGGTGGCCGTCTAGGCGGACACTGGGCCGCCCAAACATATCATCATTCTTGGCCCCAGAAGTTTTTCTTACACAAGTGCTTAAGTAACCTACGCAACTCCGCCGACCCCCAAAGTTGGGCCTCTTGGAGGACTCTTGGGGGCATCTGGGGGTGCTTGTCGAGGTTTCTCGAGGGACCCTGAGGGGGTTCCTCGGGAGCCTCGTGGAGACCTCTTGGGGCCTCCTGGGGACGCCTTTGGGGGCCTCTGGGGGCCTCTTGGAACCATCTTGGGGCCTGGCAGTTCTTTTCTAAGAATGATTGAGCTCACGCTGTGCAGTCGAAACTGACGGTATGGGTGGGGGACCTTCCCAGAGGTGCCCTTGCATCCGTGCCTCTTTGGTCCATGGTTGACTATTTTCGATGGCCCGCCGCGCTCGAACAAGCTCCAACAGGGGCATCCGTACGGGGCCCGCATCCTTGCCGCGCACCCTTATGCTATCAGTTTTGACAGCGTGGGGCGCGGGCGACCGCGACCCTCGACGGCGGGCGCGCGAGGCGGCCAGGCAGGCGCCCCAGGGGAGCTCGGCAGGGCCTCGAGCGGCCTCCCCGGTCGGGGCTGCCGTGCGCGGGCGCGGGCGCTGGGCCCCCGAGGCGGCGCGGCTCGCGGTTCCGAGCGATCACGGTGCCGAGCCTGACGCGGGCGGAGCAGAGGAGCAGCAGGTCATGAGAATGGTACGTATTCCAAGATGTCCAGGGCTTCCGGGGCTTCCTGCCTGTCCTGGCGTTGCGCACGGGCCGCATGAGCGAGGGCCGCCGGGTGCTCTGGAACTCCTGGAGCGCATCCGGACCCAGTCTTATCATCCCAGGCATGCGACGTCCTGATTTTTTGCAGGACGAGGTCCCTGGAAGTCTCGACCCGTTCCCTTGGACTGGTTCCGAGGCCCGGCGAGGGCCCCCCGAGGCCGAAAATTACCAAAAACCTCCCGTCCTGATTTTTTATTGACGCGATCATGTCTGGGATGAGATTATTCTCGTCTTCGCGGAGCGGGCCAGATGGCTGGCTCGCGCTGCCGGCGCAGGTGCGCGAGGAGGCTGTCCGGCAAAGGGCTGCGCGGGAGGGGAGCACGGATGCTCTGAGGCCCCGCGCCAGGCCGGGGCCCCTGCCCGGCAGAGGGTGCCTGCCTGCCTGCCGGAGACGGTGCGGTGGCCACGCCGTGTGGTGGGGCGGCGGGGCCCAGACATCCAACACACTGAGCAGTATCGGGGCGTTGCTTTCTTCGTCGACTTTGGCCTCGGGGGGCCCGCGACTGGCCCTGGGGCCGTCAACGAGCGACTCACGGTGAGCAGCCGGCCCTGGGGACAAGCGGGGGAATTTGGGGGACCCCGCAAGGGACAACACTCGAGACGATGGCTGTCTGAAGGAATGGTGTCGACCGCACAGCGTGGGGACTCGGGTCGCTCTCCGAGGACGTCTCGGGCGACTGGGGCCTCCAGGGTCGTGGGGCCGTGCGGTGGCGGCGGTGAGCTCTTTGGGGAGTTCGATGTCACTGCACGGTCTGTCACTGCACAGCTTTGGAACCTGGAAGCGGACGTTGGGTGAGGATTGTGATGTGGCCTGGAAGGGTGGGGCGGACGGTTCGGCTCCGAGCTCAAGGACTGACTCCCTCGAGCCTCTGGAGGCCAAGACGAACTGCACAATCAACGCCCCTAGCAAGGACGCGCGCCTTTATCTAGGGTACCCTTGTGTCCTTGCCTTTGCGGCCTGTCCTTTGCCGTTTTCACTGGTCGCCCGCCGCCCCAAACACCCCAACGTCGGCCTCCAAGGGTCTTGCGTCCTTGCCACCCGTCCTTAATGTACGTTTCGATGGTATAAGCATGGACTCTCGATTGGCGCTGCCCCCCCAGCAATCCAGGCGTCGCCTCGTGCGCCGTCCCTGCACTCCGCGCGCCAGCGATAGGGGCCCAGCGCCTGTCGACGGTATCCGCGCGCGGACCTTTGGAAGTTTCTTTTTTACCTAACAGCGTTTGCTGATAGGTTTCTAGTAGGGTCAAAAGAGAGCATCATGACTCCTCAGGGGGGTCTGGGCGGGTGCCGGGGAGGAGAACCGGGAATCGTTTTTCGCCAACAGTCACACACTTCGTGCTCTTCGACCTCCCAGAACTCCATTCCCGGGCCACATTCTGGAGAACCGGGAACAGAGCCGGGCTCGCTTTTCGCCAACAGTCACACACTTCGTGCTCTTCGACCTCCCAGAACTCGATTCCCGGGCCACTTTCTGGAGAACCGTGAACAGAGCCGGGCTCGTTTTTCGTCAACAGTCACACACTTCGTGCTCTTCGACCTCCCAGAACTCCATTCCCGGGCCACATTTTGGATGCCCGGAGCCAACTGTAGGCCACTTCGTGCTCTTCAAGTTCCCAGAACTCCATTCCTGGGCCACATTTTGAATGCTGAGGCAGGCTGATGCTGCGGCCGAGGCAGGCTGAGGCTGAGGCAGGCTGAGGCTGAGGCCGAGGCTGAAGGCAGACTGAGGCTGAGGCTGAAGCAGGCTGAGGCTGAGGCTGAGGCAGGCTGAGGCTGAGGCTGAGGCAGGCTGATGCTGAGGCAGGCTGAGGCTGAGGCTGAGGCTGATGCAGGCTGAGGCTGAGGCAGGCTGAGGCTGAGGCCGAGGCTGAAGGCAGACTGAGGCTGAGGCTGAAGCAGGCTGAGGCTGAGGCTGAGGCAGGCTGAGGCTGAGGCAGGCTGAGGCTGAGGCTGAGGCAGGCTGAGGCTGAGGCTGTGACTGCGACTGCCGTTACCGCTGCGACTGTCATCGCGAATGCGACTACGACTGCGAGAACAGCAGAATTTTACAACTGGATTTTCATCTGAATCTTAAGGGGAATGCTTTCAGATATGCTTCTACATATCGCTGATAGGTTGCTTTGCCGGGATAATTATCAGAAGTCTTTGGGAGCCTTCTCTCCTCTCCTTTCCTCTGTTCTTCTCCTCTCCTCTCCTCTCCCCTCCCCTCCTCTCCTCTCCGCCCCCTCCTCCTCCTTCTCCTCCTCCTCCTCCTCCTCTTCCTCCTCCTCCCCACCTCCTCCCTTCTCCTCCCTCTCCTCGTCCTCTTCCTCTTCCCGCGAGCCCCGAGGAGAGCAGGCTGTTCCACGTGGAGCTGCTGGACGTGTCCGGGGCGCCGCCGCGTGGCCCGGGCGTGTCCGGCGGTGAGCCAGCCGTCTCGGGGACGCAGTCGGCGCCCGCGTCCGCCGCCCGCCCCGGCCATTTTGCCGCCGCGGAGGGCGCCGGGGAGCATCGGGGCATCGGGGCATCGAGGAGGCGGGAGGAGGGATGGAGGAAGGGGGAAGGGGGAGGGGGGTAGGAGGGGGGATCTGCTGGAGGCGGGAGGGGGAGGAGGACGGAGGAGGAGGAGGAGGAGGAGGAGGAGGAGGAGGAGGAGGAGGAGGAGGAGGAATCGTAAGAATAAGAAGAAGCATCATCATACGAACAATGCTAAGAATTATCCCAGTGCGACCCTACCTAGAAGTTGGAGCCCCTAGGAAAGCAGCATCAGTTGCTTTTGCTTTGCCTTTCCTTTGCTTTGCTGTTGCTTTTGCTTTGCGTTGCGTTGCTTGTGCTTCGCTTTGCTGTCGCTGCTGTTGCTTTGCCTTTGCTTTGCTGCTATCCAATGCTCTGCTCTGCTATGCTATGCTATGCTATGCTGCGCTGTGCTATGCTGTGCTGTGTTGTGCTGCGCTATGCTATGCTATGCTATGTTGCGCTGTGCTATGCTATGCTGGGCTATGCTATGATATGCTGTGCTGCGCTATGCTATGTTACGCTATGCTATGCTGTGCTCTGCTATGCTAAAGCTCAGCGAAGCTAAGATGAAGGCAAACTAAGCTAAGGTAAACCTGAGCTAAGATGAAGCTAGGCTAAACTACGATGAAATAAGCTAAGCTAAGATGAGATAAGCAACGCTAAGCTAAGGGGACGTAGCCGGGGGAACCGCGGGGCGGATGCCGGTGGAACCGCCCGGGGCGAGAAACACTCCCCGGCCCCTTTAAGAAAGAGGGTAAGAACCCTTCTAGGCAGAGCCTAGGTAGGGAATAAGAAAATTAAGATAAGCAAACGAATCATACTCATATTAATAAAACGAATAACACTACGACGGACAATGATACTAATACCCAGAGAAATAATAACACTAATACTAGCATACTCACAATGATACAGCTAATACTAAGAAGAAGAGGAGGAGGATGAGGAGGAGGAGGAGAAGGATGAGGTGGAGGAGGAGGAGGAGGAGGAGGAGGATTGTTGTTTGACATCCACTGCAGGGCTGTGTGTGGCCTCGTTTGGCTGCTAGCAATGAGGCGCCCCTGACTAACATGTGTTGAAGCACTGCACCGCTATGCGTGTCAACACTGACCCACACTCTCTGCTTGCTGTAATGAGGGTGGCGGACCTAGCACAGAGTCCGCTAAGCATAGTTGGCAGCGCGAAAATAAGGGGTGATACAACGAGGACCGAGCCCTCGAATGGAGGCACCCGAGCTGTGACACTTATACCTGCAGCATATGAAAAGCACGATCCTTCCGAGCAGCCAAACACAGCAGTGCGGTGGCCTAGAGCGTCTTGCTCCAAAGACACCGTGCAGTGGCCCCGTGCAAGCGTGATGTTTCCGTGCAAACGCGGGAAAGGCCTCTCGAAGGAGCGCCTGCAGCGAAGGCACTTGGCGCATCTGGGTGCTTGACCACCACTCCCAGCGGTGCCCAGGGTGATCCTCCTCACAGGATTGACTAATCTCTGGCGCCACCCACGGGCACCTAGACAAACCGACCCTAGGCCAGAGAGGGAACACATTCGTCGCCAACGCACAAACCGACCTGGCTATCAAGATGAAGTGATTCAGCATGTGAATATCGGCCTCTGAAGCTGCATGGCACCCCGCTGCTCCCAGCTTTGCCAGCCTATCAGCCTCGTCATTGCCAGTGCGCCTCCAGCGTTCACTAGCACGAATGCCCACTTCGTGTGTGTGTGTGTGTGTCTAAGTGGGCTTTGACCTTCTCGACCGACTGAACGACTTCCGAACCCGGGTGATACAACGACATACGCCCAGCAAAAGGAGGATTGTAGCTGAGGTGCACTGCCGTACTGCTGGCGCGCTGCTGACTGCATGTTCGCAGTCGCTGTAGAAGGTGGTAATGCCTTCGGCCTGCATGCCCCGCTTAGTATTCCTGGCAACGTCTGCAACCTGAGACATCTAGCTTAAAGGCGCATGCGCAGGTCCAGAAAGGCGACCCACTCTGCTTCCCTGGTCATTGAGAAATGTTAGTCCGTAGCCAGCTCTCGACAGTGGGGCAATCGTGTGCTTGTGACAGCTGCTATCTACAAAACGCTGCCCGCGAACTTGCTAACGTCCTGGGCCCGATGCTCTTCCCAAGACGTGTGCGCCTGGAAAACACCACATTTAGAGGCATGACGGGGAATGCAGTCTCCAGGGTGTGGGGACAATCCCCTTCTAGAAAGCAGCAGCACTAGCGGCTTCAGCAAGAATATCTGGTTTGACTACTTCCTCCCCCGACGACGCAACAGCTTGGCAAGGGCAGCGCCACGGGCGGGGGAACGCGGTGTCCCCCCCCACACTGCCCACACATCGGGCAAACATCCTCGACCTGCTGATGCGCCTGGATGGCTCTCGAGTGGGTCCACAGAACCTCGCACGCAAGTTCTCGGATCGACCCCTTCCCTTTGGTCAACATCCTGACGAACGAGGCCGATCGTTGGCGATGTCGAAGCAAAGCCTGTCACACTGAACCCCATGTTTAGAAGCTGACTCTCTCCAACGCTCTCATGGGTGCTTACTGCAGCATCCGTTTGAGCGTACCGGGCGGAATGGCCATATGCTGCACCGTCTTACCAGAACCGTTCAGACACGTCACAACGTCAGTCATACGCCACCGACCCCTCGCCAAACATAACTACACTGTTGAGACAGGCCCTCGGATCTGCCTCCACTTTGGGGCAGCACTTCAAAACAATGAGCACATACGGGCAGCCCTCCTGGGCACATACGGTGGTGCTGGTGATTGTGATGATGATGGTGGTGATGCTTACGATGTTTAGGATGATGATGACGACGGCGATGATGATGGTGATGCTGTTGATGATGATTATGCTGCTGCTGATGATGATGATGACGATGATGGATATGATGATGCTATTGCTGAAACGGAAGATGAAGATGTTGTTGATGTTGCTGATGATTAGGGTGATGATGAGGGTGATGATGATGGTGATGATGGTGAGGATTACGATGATGCTGCTGCTGCTGATGCTGCTGCTGCTGATGATGATGATGATGATGATGATGAAGATGGTGCTGGTGATGGTGATGCTGACGACGACGATGACAAGGAGGAGCCCTCGATTTGGAACCTTGGGGGGACCTCCCCGTAAACGGCTCGAAACGAGCAACTGTTGTAGGAGAAAGAAAGCATAATGAAAGGGAGGAGGGTGACGAGAAGGTGGTGGGGGAGGGGGATGTGTGTGAAGGTGGAGGTGTCAGGCAGCATGAGGGTAGGTATGGTCAGGTTGTCTTTAAGGCAGTCTTCAGCAAGTTGATGGCATAATAGCAGCCGGGAGAGAGAGAGAGAGAGAGAGAGAGAGAGCCACCGAGAGAAAGAGAGAGGGAGAGAGAGCGAGAGGGTGAGAGCAATAATGGGAGAGCGAACGAGAGAGAGAGAGGACATAAAGGGGGAGGCCAGTGTGAGTTGTTTGAGAGGGGAAGGAGGAGGCGGAGGTGGAGCTGCCCCCCCTGACTCTGGCGCTGCCCTTCTCCTCTTCCTCCGTTTCCTCTGGTGAGCGGCGGCGGTGGGCGGCTTGGCGGCTTGGCGGCGAGGGGCATCAACAAATACCCTTGGGCGGTGGGCGGTAGTGGGTGATCCAACAGACCCCGCGGATTCCGGACTGTTGGGCACGTCTGAGTTTGCTGGCAAAGTCACGGGTGCGGCTATACACAACATTGTAAGAAGGTTTTGTCCCGACCATCCTGTGCTCGTGGGATTTCGTTTTCAAGAGACAGCGCTCCGCGTCTCACCTCCTCCCGCTCCCCCTCCTCTTCCTCCTCCAATCCCATGGCGCATCCGCACCCACTCCGGCACACCCCTCACACGTTTCATGGCCGCATCGGAAGCTCCGCCAAATACCCCAGCCGTTGCGGCCGCATGGCCGGTACAACCCTCACACGTATCGCGTCCCCACAGGGCGCTCCACCGAAGGCCCCAGCGGCAGCGTCCCCGTGGCGTGCCAGCACCCGGCACAACCCTCACACGTTTCGTTGCCCCAGTGGCAGCTCCACCGAAGGCCTCAGCTCGGCACACCCGTACACATCGCGTGGCCCCGCAGGGAGCTCTTTGCTTTACGATACCCAGGCCTGCAAGTGGTTGGGTCCTCCGTCTGGACTGTTTTCCGCTGGGCCAGGCGGCCAGCCCTGCTGGTCAGTGCCGGCAGTCACCCCGCCGCGGCACCGCACGAAGGAAGGAGATTCACGTCGGAGGGGAATCTCGTTTGTGCACGCGTCAGGCTGGGCATATGCGTAGTCTTGGAGGGCAGTGGCGTGAAAACGTACTCCCCCCAGTACACTGTCGCGCCCGAGGTGGGCGCGGTTGTGCAAGAGGCGCGGCCTGGCTCTCCCTCGGCTCTTTGCTCGTGGTGGTCCTGGGACCCCTCGCTAGAGGCTTCGGGCCCCAAATTCCCACCATTCTGCTCTCACTCCTCAGCCCTCAGCCCTCCCTCTTCCTCCTCCTCCTCCTGCTCCTCACCCTCCCTCTCCGCCCCCTCTCGCGCCCCTCCCGCTGGACCTCCTCCGCCACTCCCCTCTCCCTTTCCCTTTCCCTCCCTTCCCACTCCTCTCCCCGACCCATGCTTCCTTTCCCCTGCTCCCCTCCCCTCCATCCCTCTCGCTCCCCCTCCCCTCTGCCGCTCCCCTTTCTGCCCATCCCCTCGGCTATTCCCCCTCTACTTCCCCTTGCCCTCTCCCGCTTCCGCCTCCCTGCCCCCCCCCCCCCTCCCCTCGACAATTACTCAATATGAATACTACTCTCCCTCTTCCCCTGATGGCGTGCTGGGAATATTCGACCCCCCCCGCGTACTGTTTATTTACACACAGGATTCCCGGGAGTTGGGTTTTCGCCTGCGTTTTTTTTCAAAATGCTGCTCTCGCTGAGGCGCCGGCTTCATTTCTGCTCCCGAATCGTTCCGAATCGTGCTCCCGCTGCAGCGTGGGCCTCATTTTCGGATCGGTGTTTGCCTCCGTCGTTCAGGATGGCGTTCTCGCCCCAGCGCGGGCCTCTTTCTCGCGCGCCCATCCGCCCGCCACCACCGCGCCGCACCACGCCCCGCCCCGCCGCACGCACACCCACCGCCACTTCCACCCACCAACGCACGCACGCACGCACGCGCACCACCACCGCGCACCGCCACCACCACCGCACGACCCCACCCACCACCACCACGCTACACCGCGTCACACCACATCACACGCGCGCACACACAGACACACACGCACGCACGCACACACACACATCACACACACACACACACACACACGCACACACACACACACACACACACACACACACACACACCACCGCCACCACCACCACCGCCATCACGCACGTACGCACCTGGCCCACCACCAAACCACCAAGACGCCACACCACGTCACACCACAGCACACGCGCACACACGCACACACACACACATACACACCACCACCACAACAACCACAACCACGCACACACGCACGCACGCACGCGCACCACCACCCACTACGCACACGCGCGCCCAGCCACAGGTCCGCTACGACACGCGTCCGCGGATAGAGAAAATCAGCGCCATGGTAAGGGATGGGAGGGAGGGGTAGGATGTCAGATGTTGACGCGAGCGCACCTAACTTGGCCACACCCCTCCCCTTCTCCCCGTCTCTTCGGCACCCCACCAGCGGGTTGACTTGTAGTTACAATTGCCGAGGAGCAGAAGAGGGCATGAGGACACGACAGGGCCTCAAAGGATGGATGGATCGCAAGCGCAGGGGCAGGACGCAGAGGCCTCAGGAGGGCGGCAGGGCGGGAATGGCCGCCCCCCACCGCGTGCCGTGGATTGCGGAGCAGAGCTCTGGTGGACCCCCCGCCCCCTCCCCCCCCTGGAGGAGAGGGGCGGGGGGGGGGGAGGCAGGCTGCCGAGGGAGGAGGGAGGGAAAAGGCCCCAGACCCAGGCATCCGACGCACCGACCAGAGCAGGACGGCGTTCTCGCAGCCTTCGGCCTCTGGGGGGGCCCTGGCAGGGCTCCAGGACCGCCACGGAACGACTCGGGACGACGAGCTGGCCCCGCGGGAGAGGGCCGGGGCTCCTGGGAGCCCGAGCATGGAGCAAGTCGAAGCGTCGGATCTCTGGGGCCCTCCGGCGTCCTGATCCGCTCCATCCTGGCGTTTCGGCCCCTGGGGGGGGTCGCTTCGGACCCCGTGAGGGCTGAGGGCCCCATCGTGGAGGGGGAGCAAGCGAAGGAGGAGGGGGGCGAGGTGGGCGAGGAGGATGCGAAGGAGGAGGACGACGCGGGCCTCGTCTTCCTCCTCCTCCTCCGCCTCCTCGTCACTCCCTCCTCCCCTCGTCCTCCTCGTTCTGCCCTCGCCTTCGCTCCTCCTCGCTCCTCCTCCTCCTCCTCCTCCTCCTCCTCCTCCTCCTCCTCCTCCTCGCTCCTTCCCTACCCCCCTGGAACATCTTCGGCTCCACCCCTTTTCCCGATAGATGGCGTGCTCCTGCCTTCGAGGGTCGGAGGAGCTGGCATCTCTTCCTCGGCGGCAGGCGGCGGCAGGTCGGCGCAAGCCGGCGGAAGTCAGATGAGGGCGGCTCCGCCAGCGGAGGCCGGCGGGAGGCCGTCGGACGCCAGCGGAAGTATCAGATGCGCCCCCGAGAGAGGCCACTCCAGATTTCGTAATAATGGGAGGGGGGTCTCATTTCGGGGGGTGTCTCTTCCAGGCTATCTTGGAGGGCCTGGGGGGTCTGGGGACGATGTTTTGGAGGGTCCTCCCACGGGGGGAGGTCTGAAATGGCTTGTCTTGGAGGGTCCAGACCCCCTCCCTTCTATTACGGAATCTGGAGCAGCATTTTGGCTTCAGGGTTTCCGTAGTCGGCCGAGCACGTTCTCTCAGCTTCGCTACCAGACATGTCGTCAGCGCGGACCGGGCGTTTTCGCCTCAGACCTCTGACGTGCACCGTGGCGCCGACCCCCAGATGAGGAGATGTGCGGCCTTGGATCTCGTATATCGTGTGCTGTTTGCCGCGTCCCGTCGTGCTGCCTGCGTGTAGTTTTAGGCCGGGCATGTCCTTCTGCAGGCGGATCTTGGAGGACAAACATAACATAGTGAAGCATATTCAAACATAGTAAAACAATAGTCGAGCCATCGCCCCCAGAGCATTTCTAGAACTATTTTTGAATGTTTCTTCCTGTAGATGGACATGCCCGACTCAAGTTGAGTTGTTTCTGGCTTGTCCCCTTGTTCCTCCGCGTCTGCTGCGGGGCTTCCGTCTTGAGGGCCTCTTGGAGGCCTCGGGGGCGGCCTCTTCTTGGAACCCTTTCTTCGGGGCTCCCCATGTGCTTTTGGAAGCCCTCTCGAGGGCTTCTTGGGGGTCTCTTCGGGGCGTCTCGTGGGCATCTCATGCGTCTTGGGGGCCATCTTGTTGGGGAGGGCTCTCAGGGCCCCTACGAGTTCCCTCTCTTGGGCCTCTGCGGCTCCTCTTTGGGTCCTCCGGAGGGCCTTTTTGGCTGTCTTGGGCTTTTCTGGGAGTCTTGAGGCCTTCTTGGGCCATCTCTGGGTCCTGATGAGGCCGTCTTCGGCCAATCTGGGGGGCTTATCGGGCTGTCTCGTGGTCCAGAACACCGACATGGTGACAATTCGAAAATCATTGAAACGCCAACGGGACATGTATGATTTGGGCATCTTGAGGCCGTCACGTGGGTCCCATTGGGCCCTTTATGGAAGTCTTCCAGGCCTCCTGGGCCCTTCCGAGGCCATCTTGGATGCTCTGGAGGTCTCTCTGGAGCGTTGGAGTCTATCTTGAGCCGTCTTGGAGGGCACCTCGAACATCTTGGAGGCCGCCGTGGGTGGATTTGGAAGCTCCGAGGGCCAAGGAGGGATGCTGGGGAACTCGTGCACCCCCTCCCGTGCTCTCCCCCTTTCCGCTAACGGGATGTCGGACCCCAGGGGCGGGGGACAGGGGGAGGGGAACAGCCAAGCGTCTCACACGCTTGTTCCCCCCCCTGGCACGCGGCGGAGTCTTTGCGATACTCGAGCTTGGAGTTTCCAACAGCTGCACGGATGCCGCCCCCACTGGTCTTTGACATTCAGCAGTTATACGTGCATGGATGGAGGGCGGATCGTGTTCAAAATGGGCTGTCGCCTTGGCGCCGTATACACCCGTTGAAGCAAGCATTAACTTGTCACACGGATGGAGGGTGGGTCGTTTTCAAAATCGGTCGGCGGCGAGCGAGGGGGAGGAAGTGAGACGGAGAGGGCCTTCTCAGAAGGCGGCGGGAGCTCCCGGAAGCCCTTGCGCCTTCTGATATTCTTCTTTTCAGCGCCTTCGGGGAAGGCCCGGAACCTTCTCAGAGGGCTGCCGGTCCTCCGAGCCTTCCGAGAAGGCCCGCCCCTTCTCGCTTCCCCCCCGAGGCCCGCCGCCGGGTCGGGTTCCCACCTCGGCGCCGCGCACGCTGGTCTCAAGCCTCTGGCCGGCACCGGGACGGAGGGCGGGCCCCTTCCCGCGCGGGGCGCTCGCCCCTCCCACACGTCCTCGGCATGGCCTCTGCCATGAGCGTGTCGTTGTGCCGCAGTTGCACGGAGGAAGGGCGGTGGTTCTTTGATCTTGGGCGTGTCGTTTGGGACCTCGCAAGGTGGTGGAGGAGGGGGAGGAGGTGGAGGTGGAGGAGGAGCGTGGCCACGAGTCTGAGATGGTGCACCAGCTGCGCCCGTGTCGGGCGGATCCTTCTCGCGGTGGGGCTGCCGCTGGGCACACCTCCCCGAAAATTTTGCGTGTGGCCTCGCCTTGCAGCACGCCTGGTGCCTCGAAGGAGGGCGCAGCTGCCAAAAGGGCGCTTCCGCCTGCGCTCAGGGGAGGAGATGGTTACCCCCATACCCTCTGCCCCTCCCTCGCTTTCCCCTCCTCTGGGCCTCCTGGGAGGCCTTCGTGGCCACCGCTGGATTCGCTTCGAAATCCTGATCAGAACGCGCCCTGGGAGAGGTCCAGGGAGTCCCCTCAAGGAGGAGGAGGAGGAGGATGAGGAGGAGGAGCAGGAGAAGGAGGAGGAGGAGGAGGAGCAGGAGAAGGAGGAGGAGGAGGAGAAGGAGCAGGAACAGAGGCCCTCGGTACCTTCTGGTTTCCCCATGAGTTGCGGGCCCGTGGGGCGCTCGGCATTCACGGGGTGCGTTTCTCGCGCACCGGTAGTGCGGAGCTGTGCAGGGCCTTCACGGGAGGGGGCTCGGGTTCGGGAGAGCGTATGCTGCAGCATCGTTGACGCATCCTGGGTTGATGTGCTCTGGTGCTCCTCCTGCGCATCCCCTGCTCGTACGGAGCTCCGTGGACCGAACAGGACTGAAAAGAGCACGCCAGCAGAAGCTGCCTCCAGATTCGACACGGATGCGGCAGGTTCGCGTCGTGTCGATCGGCGGCGACCCCAGCGCCGGCGTTTAAGGTTGAACGCCGCCTGTGGCCCAGAATCGGCCCACCCGCGAACGATCCAGCCTTTTTGAAGGGGCCGAGCGTTCAAGTTTGAATGACCCCCGCGGTGACATGAACCAACGCCGGGGTCGACACGACGCGAGCCTGCCGTGGGTGGAGCCGGGCGCTGCCACTCGGTGCAGCTTCGGGCGCCGACGTTCGTGCGCGCGCCGACCAAAGTGCTGCCTCGCGCTTCGCGCGAATCTTCCATGGGAGCTCGAGCTTCCGGCGAGCCAGCCAGTCTGCGTTACCCCCCCTCTCGCGGTGCAGCCTCTCGTCAGCATCACGCCAGCACAACCCTCCTCCTCTCTCCCCTTGCCTCGTTCCGTCCACCACCTCCCCCGGCACGCGGCTGCAGGTCGCTCTGGCTGTCTTCTTCGGCCCACGACCGGCGCCCCGTTGGCGCCAACCCGCGCGCCGTGCCGGTGCCCGAGCCCGTCGTCTCCACTGTGCCGGTCACCGCCGCCACCGCGGTTGTCGTTCCCAGATCTCGGGCGATGTGGTTTTTCAGCTCAGGAGTTTTTTCCTTCGATTTTGGCTTCTGGGGCCCATAGTCGGGGCCCGAGGCAATCACAAACGGATGAGGGGCGAAACACTTGCCCCAGGGAAGGGGTGTTCGGGACCCCTGGGGCCGCGGATAAACAAGCTCACCTCGTCGGATTTCTGGGATTCTTGTCGCCGTCGAGGTTCGAACGCGTTGTTTCTTTGCTTGTTGTTTCGTATGTTTTTTGTTTCTTGAACTTTGGGTTTTGAGGGTCCTGCTTCGGGCCCAGGGGGATGCATCGATCGGTCCGGGGTGACAGGCGGGCAAGGATGAGCACCAGGAAGGGTCAGAGGACCCAATTTGAGTGGATTATGTGTCGTCCTCGTTGTCGTCGTCGTCGTCGTCGTCGTCGTCGTCGTCGTCGTATTCGTCGTCGTCGTCGTCGCCGCCGTCGCCGCCGCCGTAGTGGTCGTATCTTTATCGCCGCCGCCAGCGTCGTTGTTGTCGTTGTCGCCGTTGTCGTCGTCTTCCCCCTCATCCTCCCATACCCTCCCGTGCCACAAAGTTAGTTCCTTATCTGCATCATCTTTATCCTGGTATGGTAGTCACTTGGGCTACCTCTCCGACAGTGATCTTAGCTCCGTGTTCTCATTGACTGAAGGCTCGGTTTCTACTTATGACGTTCCTGTTGCCTCCCCAGCCGTACCACAGAATATGGAATCGGTGTCTCTCAAGGCTCAGACCATCAGCTGTACATCCTAAGGTAGGATGAAGGGCATTCTCATGAGATCTCACGCGCATGCGGTCTTCTGCCAAGAGCATAAGCTCATGGACAAGGAGCAGATTTCGCAGGCTAACGACTGGGCCCTCCGCCGAGGTTGGAAGTCTGTGCGGCTTCTGCTCTTGCGGCGGAAGCTGGGGACACCAGCTCGGGGTTTGCCATGTTCGTGCGCAGTTGGCTGGGATCTCTCGCGGAGTCTGCCCTTGCTAACTGGACGCTGGAGACTGTGGAGAAGCCTACCGTTTGTCGGGCCCTCTCTACCAGGCGCGGGCCGACCACGCTGGCACTGCCCCTGTTACGCCTCTTGGCAGGAGTCTTTGGGCCACCGCACGGTGGGTTTCAACCGCTCAGGCAGGTATCTGCGTTTCATGTGTTTGAGGTGCGAATGCCGTAGTTTGGGGTCGGTCATTGGAAGCCTCTCGAGCAAGCGCATTGTTCCTTCAACCCGTGCTGTTCGCTATGGTTGACTTGCCATGTGTGCCGGCCGGCATCCTTGTCACAGCAAGCAGAAACAATGTGTGACGGTTGACACCGACATTTTCGGCGCAACGCATTTTCAACCACCCCTCCCTCTGGGTAGAGCCGTTCTGGAGATCACTGCTTCTCCTTCTGCAGTGGTGGGCCTTTTGCCCACCTAGCTTTGCCTGAGCGTCGGAAGCTCTGGGGCGTGGATCCAACAACAATCCGTGTTATCGTTCTTCTTATATATCACCTTCTTCTCCATCTTTTTCTTCTCCGACATTTTTCTTCTTCTCATCCTCCACCTCTTTGATCATCCAGATAGACGTCCTGTAGGCTTCGTCTCCTCTTTGTTTTTCCGCCCGTTACCATGTTTTCTCATGCTGTCGCTTCTCCCTGTGCTGATGCTCCCTCCTGTGTCTCATCCCTCTCTTGCTCCCGCTCACCCGCCCTCCCCTCCTCCACACTCCCCAGGAGGGCCCCAAACCCAAAATGTGGAAATACGCCTACCACCTCGAAGCTCGAAACCTGAAGTTCGACATCATCGATCCTTTTCCCTCCTCGCCCTCGTAGGCGGCAAGCACACCCAAATCCGCGGCCTCGCGGGCTGGTCCCCTGGGCCGCGACCCCTCGGATGCGGGGCGCCCTTTCGCGGATGCCTCGCGCGCAGCGCATTCACGGGACCGCGTATCCGCGGGCTCCCGCTTTGGAATCCAGACTATTTTGGAGATTTCCATGCGTGCCCAGGGGTGGCGACATTGGAACGGTGGTGTCGGCGCAGAAGCAAACCGAGCGATCCGAAGCACGAGTTTCTCCACCCCGACGTCACCGATGCATGGGCGCGATGCGGCGCGATCCCCAGACACCATCTACTCCGACCCTATCTAGGAGGCCTCCGTCCATGCGGGGAGGTGGCTCGGCGTCACCCCAACACATGAATACTATGTGCTTGTCGACGCCCCAGGGAAGCCGGTGAAAGGCGGTGAACGGCGAGAGGGAGATCGCGGCGACGACGACGACGGCGATGACCACAACAACGACGACGACGACGTCGACGACGACGACCGCGACGACGACGACGACGATGAAGATGACGACAACAACGACTACAACAACCCCGACTGCTCCATTTTAGCTCTTCCTTGTAGGAGGAGAGGAGGACGGGGCGGAGGAGGAAGAGGAAGAAGAGAAGGCAGTGGGAGACGAGAGGGAGATCGCGGCGACGACTGCGACGACGGCGATTACCACAACAACGACAACGACGACGACGACGACAACGACGGCCACGACGACAACGGCGACTACGACGACGAAGACGACGACGACGACGACCACCGCGACGACGCCGACGACGAAGACGACGACGACTACGAAGACGACGACGAATCAACCATCAATGCCTTTTCTGGGTCTTTTTCTCTGGGAGCTTCTTGGAGGCATCTTGGGGCTATCCAAGGGCTTTCTTGGGGATATCTTTCAGGTCTCTGGACCCCTTTGGGGTCCCCGTGGTGCCTCTTGGGGCACCCTTGGAGCTCTTTTGGAGGGTCTTTGGGCCTTCTTGGGGCTCTTTGGGGGGGTCTAGGAGGTCTTTTGGGGCCACCTTGGAGGCTACGACTCAAAAAGGAGTGCGGCGACAATTACGGCCCCCCCATCGGAACCCGAACATTGGCCTTTGGGGGCCCTCTTGCGCCGCTCTTGGGGTGCTCTTGGGCGCTCTTGAGCCCGTGTTGGGCCTCTCTGGGCATGTCTTGGGACTCTCTTGGGCCATCTTGGGGCCATCTTGAAGCCCCAAGAGCCCATTGAAAGCGACAGTGCGAGAAAGGAGCAACATTGATTTTCCATGGGTTTGGGAAGGATGTTGGCCTCTCGGGGGCGTCCTGGGGAGGCTCCGTGGCCACTTGGGGCCGTCTTGGGGCGGTCTTGGAGCCTCGTGTAGGCGTGTTGGGAGCTATCTTGAGTCATCGAGGGCTATCTTGAGCGATCTTGGAGGTCATCTTGAGCTCTCTTGGGCTGTCTTAGCGCCATCTTAGGCCAACACAGACCCTTCAACTACCCGCGGCCCCCCCCCCTCCAGGCCCAGAGGGAGGGGGTAGGGAGAGGGGTCAAGACACCCTCCCCGCCCGCAAACCGTCTCGCTCACTCCCACCCGCCCTCCCAACACATACGTAGCACCCGAGTCTGGCCCGAGCCTCAGCATATTCAGCAGTCGTCTTTGGATGGGCAGCTACTGGGGGCCAATCCGCCGCCGCCGCCGCCGCCTCCCCCGCCGCCGCCGCCGCCGCCGCCGCCGCCGCCGCTGCCCGCCGCCGCCGCCGCCGCGCCGCCGCCGCCGCCGCCGCCGCCGCCTCAGCCGCCGCAGCCGCCGCCGCCGCCAAGTGTACTCCGTATTGTTTTTGGACAAGGATGGTGGGGGGGGCCGCATCGGGTTGGCTGCGTATGTTCCGAATTTGGAGGCAGAGTGTGTTTTGTACTGTTTTTTACAAGGGATGGTGTGTGGGGGGGTCGTCATGGACCTGGGTTGGCCCCCGGTCGCCGGGGGAGGGGGTGTTTATTAATAGGGAACAGTGATCAAGACACCCTCCAGATAGCAAGCCGTCCAGCTCACTCCCAACCGCCCTCCCAACACATAGAATAACACCCGAGCCTCAGCATGTTCCGCGGTCGTCTTTTGATGGGCAGCTACTGGGAACCAAAACCAAGCCCATGTGCGCGACGCTGGGGCGAGGTGCGCCACGCGTGCCAGGCGCGCCAGGCGCGCCAGGCACCCCTGGGGCCCGAGCGTGCCAGGCACGCATGTTCCCTCCAGCCGCCTGGCCAGGTGTGCCACGCTTGGGGCAGGTGCGCCTGCGCACGTGACAGCACACATCGGGAAACATGTCGGACCATCCTTGTCGAAAACCAATGCCCATCATTGTCTGGTGGGCCTTCGCACAGCAGGCCATACGCCATCACCCCCGCCGTCTCCGACAAAAACCACTTGACGATGATCGCGGGGTGGCCGCGCACTATCCACATGTAGCCGCGAGGTGTATTTTGTATTGTGTGTTTGTAAGGGATGGTAGCCCTGCGCGCAGCAGACAATCCACTGACTCCCCCGCCGTCCCTGTCGAAAAGCTATACAAAGTGCCCGCGGGCCTCACGAACATGACTCCAGATTTTGCTCCAAACTATACTGTGTATTGTTTTTGGCAGGGATGGTGGGGGGAGGGGCCGCATCGGGTTGGTTGCGCATGCTCCGAATTTTGAGGCAGAGTGCTTTTTGTATTGTTTTTGGACAGGGATGTTGGAGGGAGGCCCTCATGGTGTGCGCATGGTTCTGGGTTGGCTGCCAACCGGGTGTTGGAGGGGGTGTTCATTCATAGGGAACAGTGATAAACCCTTCCCCGAAGGGGAAGAAGGGGGTTGGACAGAGGGGGCTCTCTGAACCACTCACGCCCAGAGGGCTGGTGGGATTTCGGCCTTCGGCTTCGGTTGGGGTGGTCCGGCAGGCAGCCAAATGAGAACAGATAACATTGGCATGTCCTTCTGCGTGCCATGTCGAGACCAGACCGCGAGGACGCGGATGCGGATACGTTCGCCGCTCGTGACCTCCCTTCCTCCCGCCTCAGGTGCCGCCCGCGCACGTGGTCCTAGGGCCGGTCAGAAAGGCGCGGCCCCCGCTTCGCGCCTGCCGCCCGCCGCCTGCCCCGCCTGCCGCCCACGTGGCGGTCTCGCGTGCCGGTGCCGTCGTTGTCGTCTTCGTCGTCGTCATCGTCGTCGTCGTCGTCGTCGTCGGCGGCGGCGGCGGCGGCGGCGGAGTCGTCCTCCTCGCAGCCTTGTCAGCAATAACAGGGCCCAAGTCCATATCATACGTGGAGGGTGCCAGCACGCCAGTCAGGACGATTGCACGCCTTCCGACCGCCTTTACCTACTCCTCCTTCTCCTCCTCCTCCTCCTCCTCCTCTACGGGCGTCTCCTCAATCTTCGATATTCCTCTTCCTCCTCAATCTTCTATCCTCCTCCTCCCCCTCCTTTTTCGATCTGCAACCGTCGATCCTCAATCTTCGATCCGCCTCCTCCACCTCCTCCAGGCATCTCTGGACATCGTCGGACGATTCCCAGGAGGTCCCTGGAGGCGGTTGTCTCTTGGAGGCCTCTCGTCAGGAGGTCTCCAGTGAGCCTGGCCCCGCGAGGCAGAGGTCCGCATCCTGGACACGGACTCGCCAGGCGGGGGCGGCGGCGGTGCGGTGGCGGGGGGGCGCGGGAGGGACTCAGATCTTTTCACGTAGTGAAGAACTCACGACGGGAGATTTGTTTTGCAGATTTTCGGCCTCTCGGGGCCATCACAATCTAGGCCTCCTAGATGGGGTCCGAGTAGATGGGGTCGGAGGATGGCATCGCGCCGCCTCGCCGATGCATCGACGATGCGGCTCCATGTGGAGACCGTGTTTCCTCACGCCAGCGGTGTCGATGCGTCGCCGGCGTCGCAGATGCATCGCCGATGCATCGGCGATGCATTTGCGATGCGGTGCGATCCTGCGACCCCGTCTACTCGGACCCCATCCAGGAGGCCTCTGTACACCAGGCCCAGGGACCGTCCACGAGTACGGCTCGAGAGGAAGGGCTGGGCCCCCCGGAGGGGGTCCAGGCCTCTGGGGGTCCGCGCTGTGGAGAATCACAGCGTCGGGGATCTGGGGAGGCCGCCAGGGAGGGAGTTGTTTGATGCTTTTGTTTCTTTTCGGTTGGAGTGGGGCGTCCGCCACTGCGTGCTTCGATAGTCCGTGGAAATAAATGGGCGCGGGCGCGCGCGCGCCTCCAATTGCACTGAAGCAGTACCAGGCAGAGGAGCAGGTCGATCTTCAGAGGGCCTGGGAACATCCACCATCGTCGTCCGTGGCGAACAAATGCAGGAGTGAGTTTCAAGGAGGAGAAGGGAACAGTTCACATCAGTTATGTTGTGATACAACTCCTGGGAGGTTCGGTCAAATTCAGCATCAGCGTTGGTAGATCCGTGGTTGACGACTGCCCTAAGCCAGTCCAATCCCGCTTAGTCTAGCGTAATCGGGTTCAATCTGCCTTATCCCGCTTGATCCCGCTTACTCCGACTTAATCCGGGGCCGAATGAGGCCTCAGCCGGCTGAGTGGCTCCTTATTCTGACTTTGTCATTTTGATCGTTCTTGCGAAAACCTCGCAAGAGTTGTTTCCTGACAGTATGTCGGTTCTCCGCAAGGTAGCCCCATGGCTCCAGGACTTCGCCCAGGGAGGGCGGGCAGTGTTTGACAACACGGGCAGAAGCCGAAAGCTGGCAGGGGCCAAATCGGCTTGCCTGCCCAAGGATGTAGAGAAAAGACGCGGGGAAGGGGACGGAGGGCCACGATGGTTGTTAGCTGCTGGGCGGCCGCGGTGCCGCTGAGAGGCCGGAGTGGGCGTGGGGGCTCCCTGGGCCCTGCCTCTGGGCAGCGCGGGGGGCGCTCTGGGGACGCCTCCAGGGCCCGCAGCAGCGCAGCACGCGAGGCGCCCAGCGGTCCCAGCAGGGGGCGCCCACGCATGACGTGCAGGTCTCCCTAGCCGGGGCAGCACCTCGTGGCGGCGCGCACGGCGGGGCTTGGCGTGGGAGGGGGTGGCTTCCCGAGAAGGCGGGTGGGCTCCTTCGAAGGCAGGGGCCTTCTCCGCTGCGCCTGGCTTCGCAGAAGCCGGGAGGGCTCCTCAGAATTCTCAGAAGCTGGGGGGCTTCAGCCCCCCGCCTCAAGAACGCACCCGCCTTCTCCGAAAGCCTTCAGAATTGAAGCCGCCGAGAAAATGTTAGAGCTACGAACATCATATGTATTGTTCCGCCGATTCGACGACATGTTCAAGTTTCGGGTAAATCAATTCTGTAGTCGACCTCCTACGCGAAGGAAGGTAGGCTGGTGCCAGAGTCTCGTCCTGCGGGCCGCAGCCCCTGACCCAGACCGAAGGGGGCAACGAGCCCCTGCTGGCCGCGCGAAAGTTTTTTGGTTCGAACAAATAAGAATCTCTGGGCCATAACGCGCGTCATGCTCCCTAACCTCACCCTTTCCTCCCCCCACTAACGTACAGTGGAAGCCCATGCCAAGAAACTCCCTGCCCTGCTTGCCTCCAGGGTGTCCTGGGCTTCTTGGGCTTCGATGGTTTTGCCATGGGAAGCCCTCCCCCCCTCCCCCCCACCACAACGTAACGCACCCCATGACGTAGCGCCCGGCGTGCCCTGGGGTCTCCCCCTCACCTCCCCCATCAAGTAACGCGCCCCCCCCTCTCAGTGCGTCCCCGGCACTACCGCAGGGCGCGTCCAGCACCACGGTCTGAGGGGGGTGGGCGCTACGTTATGCCCCCCCGATAATGCCCGTTATGGCCTCGAATCAATAAATGCGCTCCACCTGGCCGCCTCCGCGCTGCCAGGAGATACGGCCGGACCCAGGACAGACTAAAAGACGGCCAGCCCTCGAGGGTAGCCTCTCCCAGGATGCACAAGAACATCCACCAGACACGACGAACATCAGGGTACCCTCCCCGCACCGACCTCGATCTTATACCTTGGTCCGACCATACCAGAAGCGGCGTCGGTACAGGGGTAACCCCGCGCAGGCCCACAAGATTTGGAGGACGACGTCCGACGAGGGGGAGCGGTCGAGGAGAAAACCAGGAGCAGGATCGCCGATCTGCCGCCCCCTCCTCCCGCCCCTGAGAGCGTCGAAGGACGCACGGTGGAGTTGTTCGGTAAGGAATGTGCCCAGGAGGCTTCAGATCCTGGAGGATTCCTTATCTGACGAGGGCGGCGGTGATATCCCTAGAAGAGAGAAAAATGCCCTCGCCGTAGTTACTCCGCCCCTGGGGGGGGGTTCTCCCACCGCGTGGTTTCTTCCTTTCTCTGTCTCTCTCTCTCTCTCTCTCCTTTCTCTCCTTCAAATGGGTGGCACACGACAAAAATGTCGCCGGACTCGATGAAATCATGTCTAATGCATCAGAAGTTGACAACACGAAGAATGAGATGTCACGAGTCGGCGGGCTCGGGCCTGCTCAGTGGGTGCTCGGAAAGATGCCCCGTGTCCCAGGGAACCAATTCGACGACGAGGATGCTTTCGACTTAGGAGTACTTGCGAATGTTGCAGAGGACGGAACCGACGAGTTTTTTCGTCAGTCTGCGATCCGTGCGTCCACCAGGAAAGCATTCGCGGAACACGACGTCGGGGGTAGAACGGCGAGGGCCGTTCTCCGAAAAGCAGCGCCATTCGCCGGGGAATGTCAAGTAAGTGATGTAGTGCGCTTCCGCAAAAGGCCGACCGACGGCGAAGTCACTGCTAAGTGGAGCACTGGTTCTCGTATCGTTGGATTCGATGGCAAAAACGCATGGGTTATCGCAGTGGGCATGCCTGTCTGCGTGGCTGTCGACAGGCTTCGACCGTGTACTGCGGCGGAGGCGTTGGCATACCAGTATCTCTCCAAGCATCGCGACGGTGGAGTTGAAAGATATGCACCTCCATACTGACAACAACAGTCATTTGTGGACGAAAGACGCGAGCTGCCAGAACCACAGGCACAAGAGCATTCTGTACAATAACATCCCATGGCGACAGAGGAGCTACCGGGGATCCCAGAGGACCCCGAGTTCATATAATAATCATTTCGCCAAATGGAGGAATATGAATTGTCTGAAGGAATGATCGTTCCTGTGACGCCCGCGTCGGGGTCACTACTGTTGACTCGAACGCCACTCCAGAGGTCTTTGCTAGATCACGTGCCACGCGGCGTACAGAGTCGTAACGAAGTGATGCGCAGAAGAATCGAGAATGTGGACGGTAGCACGGGAAGGGTGTCCGATTCTGCCGCGGAGCCAGCTCCCGAGCCGGCGAACCCGCTTCTTGATGCCGCGCGCAGGGCCAGAACGTCAGGGCCAGGCATGGATCTGCTAGTTCGCAAGGAAGCATCATTCGCTGTTAAGCCACATGAATCGCTTGTCGGATTCTTCAACGAGCGCACCGTTCATAGGCCGCAATCCAAGAAGAAGATAAAGAGTGCAAAGGATCTGGTACATCATCGAGAATTTGAGGACGTTAAAAGTGGTTTACGACTGGCAAGACAAGACGGATCGGGGAACATGGCGGAAGTTCAACGCCGCTGTACTTATCGATTCCGTGGAACTGCAACATCTCCTCGACAAAGGATATCGCGTGGTACCAACACAGTGGATTGATATTGACAAGAATGAACATCTCCGCAGACCGGGAGGACCTCCGGTTGCACCGCAGTGCAAGCGTATACTTGCTGTACGCGGAGATTTGGAAGAGTCATCGGGTATCCGCGCGGATTCGCCAACGCGCGACCTAGAGGGGCGAATGTTGATGGTGTCATGGGCCGCCAGCACAAAGAAGACTTTCAAGTGTGCCTACATCACGTCCTCGTATTTCCAGGGTCAGGAATTCGACCGCCTCGTGCTACTCAAGCCACCGCCCGACGGACTCGAAGGAGTGCCGGATGGTGGGGCGCTGATCTCGCGCATGCCTGTCTATTGTACGCGCGACGCAGGACGAGGTTTATGGAAGAAAATTCGCAAAAGGTTTGAAGCCCATGGTCTAAGGGAGAATCGTATCATGTCCGCTTTTGTTCAGTATTCACAATGACAAGAGTGAGATCACGTGTGTGCTAGGTACACATGTAGATGACTTACTATGGGCTGCAGATAATGAGCGCCAGAAAATCATCGATTCGGTGTGAGCAGAGTTTGGCTTTCGCGAGATCAAGTCGGATAATTTCCGTTGTTGTAGTATAGAAGTTGCTCAAGAGGAAGATTTCACGGTATTGCGGCCTGGGGTAATATTGGGAAGATCGAAGTTGCGTCCTATCTTAGGAGCAGCCCCCGTCGCGAGAAAGTGCAATGAGGGTGGGGCAGCACAGCTCAGACTGGTCGTGGGTGCTTTGTCATGGGTTACGCGTCAGTGCAAGCCTGAGTTACTGTATCGCGTGAGCAGACTGCAGACAGCAGTGCGCCACGCTAAGGCACTTCATCTCGAGGAAGCCTATCGTGTGTTATGAGAAGCAACACAATCAGCAGGCTGCGGATTAGTATTTGAAAGGGTGGAGCTGTTAAGTGGGATCCATATATGATAGTTCTTACCGTTACGCCAGCTGGGCAGGAGAAGAGGGTACAGTCAAGGGTAGAATCGAGCCTCTCAGATCACAGAGAGCTAGGTTCAATGGGCTCGCAGGGCCTGTGTTCATCGAGGGGAACAGTGATCATGTTCACCCTATATGTATATATACTAAAGTTATCGAGCGAGTATGTAAATCTACACTACAAGCAGAGACTTTGGCTTGGTTATGGGGTGTCGAATCTGGAGTACGCATCCGTGCCGCCATCGCAGATGCTCGCGCGATGCTTGGTGCCGGAAAGAATCTGCCAACCAATTGGCAAGACAAATCAGCCATGTCTACGAGACATGTATGGATGACGGATTGCAAGAGACTTCAAGAACATCTGATAGCCCCACCTATGGGCAATGCAGAAGATAAGCGATCGAGTATTGAATTAGGGAGTTTAAGATCGGATGTTTGGGTTAATGGAATGGAAGAAGTACAGGTCCTACTACGTCCACGCAAGTTGTGTGATAAGATCCGATGGATCCATAAAAGTATTATGGCTGTTGACCGTCTAGCGAAGAATATTCATACGGATTTCTTTGCTAAGATCTTACGTGCTGGTTCGTATGATGTAACCCCGGATCCCGAATCTGGCTTACATTAGGTTAAGAATAAACTGGCGAGGGCCAGAGTGAATGCTGTCCCATCAGGGAAGTAAGTGACTGAGTCCTGGTTGCCTTGACTTGAGTAATCCTAACATGGGAGTGCTCCTTTTTTACAGCCCCTAGAGGCTTACTTAGATCAGCGGTGCTGCGCGGTCTGCCGGCTAGCTCGTGATAAAGTTTCACGGGTGTGAGATAGTGCGTGCGTGACGTTTCTATACGCACCACTCGCCGCGACACGCCGCCGTTTGACTTGTAGGGGCCCTTTTTTGCCACTGCGCTAAAACACATCATAATCACAGTGAGGATTAGGAGGTGGACGATGCTGATGATGCTGGTCGTGCTAGTGATGCCGGTTTTGATTGTGATAATGCGAGTGATGTTGGTTCCAATCATGTGAATGAGTATGATGCTGATGATGCTGATGGTGCTGACCGTGATCATGACGATGATGCTGCTGATGATGATGATGCTGATGGCGACGAAGGTTACACTGATTATGTTGGTGATGATGTTGGTGGAGGTGAGGATGGTGATTGTGATCACCATGGTGGTGATGATGGCGACGATGATGATGGCGAAGCCGATGACGATGATCTTGTTCCTGGTGATGGTGCAGGCGATGAGGGTGATGATAATATTGAGGACGATGAGTAAAACCATGAGCGTGATAGTTACGGTGGTGGTGACGACAGCGATAACAGTGAAGTTGCTGTTATTGCTTGTCATGATGATGCGGGTGATGCTGATGGAAACGATGGCAATGCTGACAATGGTGATGATGATGATGCTGATGATGATTCTGATGAAAAAAGGAGAATATGATCACGATGACGATGGCGATGTCAATGATCTTGACGATGGTGAGGATGGTGGCGCTGTTAATGATGATGATACCGAGAATGGCAATGCTTATGAAGATGCTGATGATGACGACCATGATCAAGCTGATGTTGTTGATGATGCTGACGATGATGCTGGTGTTGATGATGATGCGTGTGATGCTGATGATGGTGAAGATGAAGATGTTGATGATGATGCTGCTGCTGATGATGATGCTGCTGTTGATGCTGATGCTGATGCTGGTGGTGATGATGATGGTTGATGATGAGGAGGAGGAAAACAAGGAGGAGGAAGGGCAGGAGGAGGAGTGGGTGAGGTGTTTGGGCTCTTCTCGTCTGTTGTGCTCCCCAGGGGGCTTCTCGTCGCCACGGGTGGCGCCCTTGAGTGAAATTCAGGGCAAACAAATCCCCCCAGGAGAGGTCCAAGGGCCGATTCTTGGTGAGAGGGGTTCCGAACTCTGGCGTACGCCGGAGCCTTCTTTGGCCAACTGGTCGGCGTTCGCTGGCCGTTCCAGAGGAAGGGGTCGGGAGCTAAAGTGGCCGGCTGGCAAACGAAAGTAATCGCGACAGACACATCACCCCAGGACTCGATCCTCGAGGTTTCGGCGGGCAGGGCGGAGGAGGATATCGGAGCCCCCGCCAGGGATATTGAAGTTCGCGTCGGACACCCTGGAGTTTGTGGAGGGCCCCGCCGACGCCGCGCGCGCGGCCTAGTGGGGCCTCGCTGGCGAGCCTGCCCACGGCAGCCAATCGTTGTGTTCACGCGCGAGCGCGCGCGCCTACGCTTGTGTGTTTGTGTGTACACGGCGTGCGGCTTCGAGGGCACAGTATACAGACGGCGAGTGCACGTACGTGTTCGTCGCTTGTGAAAATCGTCATCCCCCCCTCTTATCCTGGCTCAATCGTCGGCCCACCCGCTCCGCCCCCGCGTCCTCGCCGCGGTCGCGGCGGGTCGCTGGCGCCATGGGCGCGGCGGCCGAGGCGCCGCTTCCGAAGGCACTGCACTCCTGGGCCGCCGCTCCCGGGCATTCGCGCGACTGGGGCGCCTTCGAGGCGGCGCTACGGGACTCTACGCGCCTGTCGTCGGCGGTGCACATGGCGGCGACGGGAACCGTGGATGCCGAGCTCCAGATGATGCGCAACGAACACCTGCGCCTCCGCACGCGGCTCGAGGAGGCGGAGTCTCGGCAGGCACTCGCCGCCCGCGGCTGGGGATCCCTGCCCCAGCCAGGCATGGACGCGCAGCTGCCGGGAAACCTGCCAGAGAGGGCCACACCCTACGAGGTGGTAAGCCGGAGCTCGGCATGGGACCCTATGACCACACCGCTGGGGCCCGGGGCCCCCTGCCCCAGCGGGGCGCCGCCACGGAGCAGCCTGGCGGCCCGGCGGAGAGGGCCACCCTCGGCGCGGGGCCTCGGCGGACCGCGCAGCTGGGGCCTGGCTCCAGTCTTCCAGACGGCCCCCCCTCGCGTCGACGCTGGTGAGCACCTCTGTGAGCGGCCAGGAACACCTCGACGCTGGTGAGCACCTCGACGCGGGGCCTTCGGCGAGCACTGGCGTCGTGTCAGCAGCACCCGCTCCTCCAGCGGCCTCCAGCTGCGCCGCCGCTCTGGCCCGCCCGCCTCTCTACGCTGGCGGCGCCGCACCGGCTTCGGACGGCGAGCGGCTCTCTGCGCCCGCGGGCGCGGCGTCCAAGGCCGACTCGGCGCCGGAGCCCTGTTGTCCGCAGCCGCCCCCGCCGCAGCCAGAGCGCGCAGGGGGCCTCCCCAGCGGTGGGGCGCCGCGGGGCCGCCTGCCTCCGCGCCCGGCGCCCTCGCGCTGGGGCCGCGGCCGCCAGGCGCCGCCGCGGGGTGGCCCAGGCAGTGGGGAAAGCCTCCCGAGGGCTCCGCCGTGGAGTGGCCGAGGCCGCGGCGGAGCCCCAGCGGCGGGGCCTGCCGGACCCGCTGCAGGGGGCCGACCCGTGGGGCGCGGCGCGGGGGCCCAAAGAGCCGACGGTCCCCCCAAAATGGAGCGGTGAGTTCTTGGCCGTGTTCGGCCTCCGGGGGCCTTTGCCGGGCCTCGGGGGCGTTACAAAAACGACCCGGGACGAAAAACCCGCCCTGCAGGGAAGTGGTCCAGACCGCCGCCAGGCGGAGTTAGGACGAGGACGAGGATAACCCATTCCAGAGCCTTCCCGAACGTTCTGAGACGGCCGCAGAGTTTTTCGATTTATCTTCACCCTATTTCATTATCGTCCTGGCTTCGTCTTGCAAGCAAACAAGCAAGAAGGCCATGCATCCTGAAGGACGCGTGGGCAGGCAAGGACACTCATGGTTCCTGCCGTGATTCGCTGCGACAGACAATCGGCGCCAGCGCGGATTGGACTAAACAGCCCGAGAGGAGGAGGAGGAGGAGGAGGAGGAGGAGGAGGAGGAGGAGGAGGAGGAGGAGGAGGAGGAGGAGGAGGAGGAGGAGGAGGAGGAGGAGGAGGAGGAGGAGGAGGAGGAGGAGGAGGAGGAGGAGGAGGAGGAGGAGGAGGAGGAGGAGGAGGAGGAGGAGGAGGAGAGGAGGAGGAGGAGGAGGAGGAGGAGGAGGAGGAGGAGGAGGAGGGGAGGAGGCGGAGGAGGAGGAGGAGGAGGAGGAGGAGGAGGAGGAGGAGGAGAGAGGAGGAGGGGGAGGAGGAGGAGGAGGAGGAGGAGGAGGAGGAGGAGGAGGAGAGAGGAGGAGGAGAGGGAGGAGGAGGAGGAGGAGGAGGAGGAGGGAGGAGGAGGACCAGTTAGGTGCGCGCGTCCACCTGACATCCTCCCTCCCCTTACCATGGCGCTGATTTTCTCTATCCGCGGACGCGTGTCGTAGCGGACCTGTGGCTCCGCGCGCGTGTGCGTAGTGGGTGGTGGTGCGCGTGCGTGCGTGCGTGTGTGCGTGGTTGTGGTTGTTGTGGTGGTGGTGTGTATGTGTGTGTGTGTGTGTGCGTGTGTGCGCGTGTGCTGTGGTGTGACGTGGTGTGGCGTCTTGGTGGTTTGGTGGTGGGCCAGGTGCGTACGTGCGTGATGGCGGTGGTGGTGGTGGCGTGTGTGTGTGTGTGTGTGTGTGTGTGTGTGTGTGTGTGTGTGTGTGTGTGTGTGTGTGTGTGTGTGTGTGTGTGTGTGTGTGTGTGTGTGTGTGTGTGTGTGTGTGTGCGTGCGTGCGTGCGTGCGTGCGTGCGTGCGTGCGTGTGTGTGTGTGTGCGCGTGTGATGTGGTGTGACGCGGTGTAGCGTGGTGGTGGTGGGTGGGGTAGTGCGGTGGTGGTGGCGGTGCGCGGTGGTGGTGCGCGTGCGTGCGTGCGTGCGTTGGTGGGTGGAAGTGGCGGTGGGTGTGCGTGCGGCGGGGCGGGGCGTGGTGCGGCGCGGTGGTGGCGGGCGGATGGGCGCGCGAGAAAGAGGCCCGCGCTGGGGCGAGAACGCCATCCTGAACGACGGAGGCAAAACACCGATCCGAAAATGAGGCCCACGCTGCAGCGGGAGCACGATTCGGAACGATTCGGGAGCAGAAATGAGGCCGGCGCCTCAGCGAGAGCAGCATTTTGAAAAAAAACGCAGGCGAAAACCCAACTCCGGGAAATCGTGTGTGTGTGTGTGTGTGTGTGTGTAAAAACAGTGCGCGGGGGGGGGGGGGCGAATACGCAAGAGACGTCATCAGGTGGAGAGGGAGAGTAGTATTCATATTTAATTGTGGGGGAGGAGGAGGAAGGGGAAGAGGAGGAGGAGGAGGAGGAGGAGGAGGAGGATGAGGAGGAGGAGGAGGAGGAGGAGGGGGGGGAAGATGGGGAGGACCTGCATGCAATAAAAAATTATGGAGATCATACCATTCTATACACTTCTGTTGCCCACTGCTGCCGGGGGCGGCCTCGCCGCCGAGCGGTCGCCCAGCTTCGCGGGGTCCCGTCCGGGTTGCACAGGACCTCCTTGACCAGGGAACCGGCGCTGCTGTTCGCGATCTTGTTGGCAAAGTGGTCCAGACCTCCGGGGCCCACGCATCAAAAACAGTGGAGCAGCTGGATGTCTGGAGGGGGGTGGCGAGGGCACGGCTCGCAGGGGCGCCCGCGGAGCCGGAGGGGTGTGGCGACGCGTCGCACCGCTACTAACAGGCCCCCCAGGAGGACGACGACCACAACCGGGGCAGGGGCGCGGGCGGCCGGGATCGCAGCACGCCTTGTGTGGTGCATTCCACGTTTTGCAATCCATTTGGTGCAATCTATGCGGTGCCATTCACCCTGCCGAACTTGAAGTTGTCGGCTCCACTGGTCGCGCAATCACCCCACCCACCCACCCGCAACTTGGCTTGCAAAGCCCATGCGGAGGCGATTGCGATGAGTGTTTGGCGTTGGCCGGTGCATTTCTGCGGTCGCGCCAGCCCGCGAATGCACGCGCGCGCAGCGGCCAGCTAGTTTGGCGCGATCGACGCGGCCGTGGTGGCGCTGACCGCTGGGCACATCCCAGCGGGCACTACTTCAGTGCGAGTCGGCGACTTGGGCGGGCGCGGTATCATGGCAACGTCGACAACGGTAGACATGATGATAGTAGCGATGACATTGACGATGCTGAGAGCGACGGCGGCACGGCCAGTGACGGCGCCGATGGTGATCGCCCCGGTGACGATGACGGCGTCCTCGCGTCGGTGATGAAGGTCTTGGAAGGAGTTCGACATGTGCGCGCGGCCTTTGCGCGAGAGTGGCGCGCATGGTGCTATTTGGCACGGATCGTGCCCCCCAGCGCACTTGCAACGGCGTTCAATTGATTTCGGTAGTCGGCGCGAGAGGTCCGTTTGGCAGAATCCCATGAGCATATTGAATTACTTGTGGTTTTCTCAAGAATTCGCAAGGGCGCGCGAGCGCAAACTTTTTTTGTGGGTTGAAAACTGATGCTGCGGAATCGCATGTGTTTGTATGGTTCCGGTCCGCTCGATTTTGAGATCCTTGCGAAACCTACGGTTTGTGTTGAAGGAATTCCACATGCGCGCGCGACGACGCGCGCGTGCACTTCGCCCCATTTCGTGCAAGGGGTTCTCGCGACAACACGCGCGCAAGGGCGTTCGAACGATTTAGACATGCGCGCGCGCGAAGCCCGTCTGGTAGCATGTTATGAACATGTTGAAGAACCTGTGGCTGTCTTGAGAGTTCACAAGGGTGCGCGCAAGCTTTTTGAAACGAATCAGCGTTGTGAAACCATGTTTTTATTCATGTTTCTCGGACGGTTGATTTCGACAACCTTGCGACACCAACGGTGTTTGAAAGATTTCGGCATGCGCGCGCAACCACGCGCGCGTGTGCACTTGGCTTCATCTTGTGGCAAGGGGCATTTGAAACTGATAACTTTTGTTAAACGGGTGCGCGCCTAGATCTTTTTGCAGAGGATGACGGAGGGGCGATTCTGGCCTGCCTGGGATGGTACGAGTTCATATTTCGGATGGACGATGGGGCAGGATCAAGTGTACATTGCAATGAGAAGAGGTGAGCTGTTAAGTCCGGGGGGGGGGGGAGGGTTGTAGATCCGAGTTCTCTGCTAGGAAGGAGAATGTATTTCTATACGCAGTGAGTTGCGAATTCATTTCTCGCCATATTTCGCGCAACCATCGCACCCGCCCACCCGCAACTTGGATTGCAAAATCTATGCGGCGGCGATTGCGGTGACTGCTCGACGCTGGCTGGCGCATCGCCGCGCCCGCGCTAGCACGCATGCTCGCGCGCAAAGCGGCCAGCTAGTTCGGCGTGATCGACGCGGCCGCGGCGGCGCTGACCGCTGGGCACATGTTTTAAATGATGTTGGGGGCCACTCGGGTTTCAAAGTCCCGGCGAAACCCCAGGTTTTTGAATGATTTTCGCATGCGCGCGCGACGACGCGCGCGTGTATTTGTTTGTCCCCCAAAAAAGCTTCCGCGACAGCCAGCGCGCAACGGCGTTCGAATGCTTTCGACATGCGCGCGCGAGAAGCCCTTTTGGCCGAATGTAATGGACATAGACATGTTGGTTTTCCAACGAATTCGCCACAACGCGAGCGCAATCTCTTTAGAAACATGATGTTGCACAACCTTGTTTCATTGGAAAGATGTCCCGGCCCATTTATGCAAGGGGATTTCGAGTTGTGGGCGGTGAGTAGTGACTAAACTGTGAGTACGCAGTAGCGAGTCATGGATAGTGGTTAGTGGGTATTGAGTAATGCTCAGTGAGTAGTGAGTAGTGCGCAGTGACTTGTGTTTAGTGAGCAGTGAGTATTGCGTACTGGGTAGTGAGTAGTGGGTAGTGAGTTGGGAGTAGTGAGTAGGGAGTAGTGAATAATGAGTAGTGGGAGCGTAGTGCGTTGTTTGTGGTGGGTAGTGAGTGGTGCGTATTGGGTAGCGAGTAAGCTGTAGTGAGTAGCGAGTAGTGAGTAGTGAGTATTGTGTAGTGAGCAGGGAGTAGCGAGTAGTGGATAGTGAGTAGTGAGTAGTGAAGTGTGAGTAGTGAGCAGTGAATAGTGGATAGTGGCTGGTGGGTAATATGTAATGGTTTGTGATTAATGCGGACTGGGTAGTGAGTTGCGTTAAGTGAGTAGTGAGTAGTGAATATTGAGTACTGGATAGTGAGTGGTAAGTAGTGAATAATGAGAGTAGCGAGTAGGCAGTAGGGAGAAGTGATTCGTGGGTAGTGGGTAGTGAGTAGTGAGTAGTGAGTCGTGGTTGTAAATAGTGAGTAGTGAGAGTGAGTAGTTTGTAGCGAGTAGAGAGTAGTGGGTAGTGGGTACTGCGTAATGAGTAGTGAGTACTGTTTAGGGCTGGGGTTTTGGTTCGGGGTTACGGGTGGTAGGGGTCGGGTTCCAGAGCCCGGGGGCGCCGTGGCGAAAGGGGGGGAGGGGGGGGGGAACTTGGCGGCCAAAGGGGGAGAGGGGTGGGTTCGGACCCTCCCCCTCCGTTTGAAAGAGGGGGTGGGGGGGGGGGACCCGACGACGGATCGGGAAAGGGGGGGAGGGGGGGGGGTCCCCGACGACGGATCGGGGAAAGGGAGGGGGGGGGTCCCCGCCCCGCCCCCCCCCCTTGGGGAGATCCAGCGGCGCACCCTCATTCTTGCGACAACACGCGCGCAAGGGCGTCCGAATGATTTCGACATGCGCGCGCGAGAAGCCCGTTTGGCCAAACGCCAAGGTTTTTTTGCGAATCAGCAAGAGTGCGAACGCAGGTTTGGAAGAATTTGTTGCGAAGCCATGTGTTCTTTATGTGTTGTCGGGGCAGTCGATGTTGAAACCCTTGCATCTTACGGAACTTGAGGTGTTTGAAGGATTTCGGCATGCGCGCGCGACGACGTGCGCGTGTGCATTTTTGCAACAGGTTGAGGACTGATGATCTGTGAAAAACGACCGCGCGCGCATAGTATTTTTTCGCAGGGGATGACAGAAAGGTGGGACTGGTTTAGCTGGGATAGTACGAGCTCTTTTTTAGGATGGGCGGTGGGTCAGAGTCACATGTCAATTGCACTATTTGAAAGGAACCAGTGGAGTCCGTGGGGGGGAATCGCATTATTCTTGTAGAAAGGGAAAATCTAGGGCGGCGACGAGGCGGCGACGGGGAGGCGACGGCGGCTACACAGCCGCCAGACCGAAAACACGGCCAAGTTCTTTGGAACAGAAGTAAGAACCTCTAAGCGCCGCTTGGGGAATTTATGTACGCAACTGTCTCCACCAACCGCCGAGGTCCCCGAAGGTCGACCCACAGGCGGTGGTCATGCAGGAATCCCCTCCTTGCAAGCACGGGTGCCGATGGGAGAAGCTGGCCCAGCGCGTCGATTCGGATGCAACTCCTGGGAGGTCAAATGCTGACTGCCCTGGTCCGAAAGACGGCTTTATCCGGCTTGATGACTCCTCTTCCGGCTTTATCCCGCTGGATCCAGCTTAATCCGGCTTCACCCCGCTTTGTCCGCGGTCTGACTGCCCCCCAATGGGGTTCATCATCTTTGATCCTTCCCACGAAGACCTCGCAGCAGCTGGAGAGTGTTATGTTTTACCCTCTCGGCCATAACGCGCGTTATGCCCCCTACCCTCCCACCCGCTCCCCCCCCAGAACGTAACGCTCCCCACCTCAGTGCGTCGCCAGGACTGCCGCAATTCGTCCGGCACCACAGTTGGGGGAGAGGGGGGCGCTACGTTATGCCCCCTCCCGTCCCCCCCCCCCCCAATAACGCCCGTTCTGGTCGCGAATGCATAAATACGCTCCTAGGCTCCTAGGGTCCTAGGGGAACAAGAAGTGACATAAACATGAAAACTCAGAGGTCCGCGCGGATTTCTCGGATCGGCGCTGGACCCCCTTCCTGGCGCGCGGAGCACGCCAGGGGCGGCGCTGGTGGCGCCGCTGGGGGGCCCCAGCGCCGATCCGAGGACTCCGCGCGGACCTCTGAGTTTTTATGTTTATGCCACTTTTTTGTTCCCCTACCTTCTGTCTCCGAACGTCGACGCCCCCGCAGCCCAATCATCGCCAGCCGGGGCTTCCAGTGCCCCCACCGCGCTTCCGCGACGGCATGGCGCCCTTCTTCGCCAACTCGGAGGCCCCGGCGGCGCTCTCGGCCCGAGCGGTGCCCATCGCCGACCCCACGGGGATTCGGTCGTGTGCCCCCCCCCTGTCGGGCAGTGCCGCCCTGCCACTCCCCCTCACCGCAGCGCCTCCTGGTACTGAATTCAGAGATGCACTGCAGAGTTGGTGTGCCCCAGAATGGATTTTCTCGCCGGGTCTACGACACATGCGTAGTTTGAGGTCAATCAATTCTTTAACCGATTCCCTACACGAGGTATCGGCGGCGAGCGAGGGGGGGAAGTGAGAAGGCGAAGACCTAAGGCGGCGGGACTTCTTAGAAGCGCCCTGGCGCCCTCCGAGAGGTTTTCGGTGTCTTCGTGGAGGGCTGACAGAAAACCTTTCAGAAGGCCGGAGGACTTCCGAGCCTTCTGAGAAGGCTCGCCCCTTCTCACTTCCCCCCAGGCTCGCCGCCGACCCTCACGTCAGCGCTTCCTGGTGGGTTCGCGCCGCGACGTCCCTGCGGCGGCGCCGGTGTGGGTTGTGGCTTCGGGAGGGCCGTGTCGTCAAATGGGCCGCAGGGAGCCCCCAGACAACCTCGAGCGTGTCCTCGCCACGCCAAGGTCATCAATGCAGACGTGCACCCTGAGATCTGAAGGGCGCATTCTTGTCACACCGGGCGTTTTCGCCTGGTTTCTGTCTCGGGGGGTCCATCACAGATCGATCCAGTTTGAGAAGTGCCACAGGCAGATTTGGTCGAGCGTTCCCGTCGCGATTTTCTGCGAAGTTGTTTTTTGGCGACGTCGGATCCCAGGGTAATCCTTAGTTCCGCTCTTCTCGTTTGGATTTCCGAAGGCTCCTTTGGCCAACTGCCGCCGCCCTGTGCCCCTGTGGAGGGCCCTGTGTGACCGAAGACCGAGGTGGCACTCGCTCTGCTGTGGCCCAGGCCGCACCGCCCGTGCAGCGGCCTTGTCGCACGACGTCCAGGCCAGGACTGTCGAGCTGCTAATTAGGCGGATTCACTTGCCGCGCCTGTATTTCTTGCCCGCAGGGTGCCGCGTGCTCAGGAAGCTCAGAACCTCGGTCATCGAAGAGCTGTGTGACGCCAAGCTGTGAGGCGCGACGACGGAGCTGCTAATTAGGCGGATTCACTTGCCGCGCCTGTATTTCTTGCCCGCAGGGTGCCGCGTGCTCAGGAAGCTGAGAACCTCGGTCATCGAAGAGCTGTGTGACGCCAAGCTGTGAGGCGCGACGACGGCCCTGCAGGCGCCATGGTTGCCAAACTGCTGAGTTGCCGAACGTGTAGTAGCGCTGCTCACTAACTGTCTAGCTGTGCTCTTCAGAGCTAGGCTGCCCGGTACTTCCGACCTCACCTGTGCAGCCTGGTGGCCCCACACGCAGGACGGGCTGCTTGTGGGTGCGCTTGCGGATGGCTCGCTTAGTTGCTCAACCTCAGGGTGGCGAAGCGATGACGAAGAGGACGACAAGGACGACGAGGGCGACGACGAGGACGTGGGCGGCGACGAGGACGACGACGACGACGACGACGACGACGACGACGACGACGACGACGACGACGACGACGACGACGACGACGACTGCCGTGTCGCTGCCCAGGCCGCCGAGGGCCGCCCAAGGCCGCCGAAGACTGCCGAGTGCCGTCGAAGGCAGCCGCTGGCCGGCGACTGCCGCCGACGTCGGCCGATGGCCTCCCGAGGCCGCCGAGGGCCGCCGAGGGCCGCCAGCGGCCGCCAGCGGCCGAGCCCGAAGCCTCGTCGCCGAGGTGCACAGTCGTGGTCCTGCGGGTGGGCGGCAGCCAGGGCGAGGCCTCCGCTGGGCGCGGGCAGTGCCAGGGGGTTGGGGCCGGCTGGGGGCCGAAGGGGCCCAGCACGGGTTCGGGTGTAGCCAGGACCCCAGGTAAGGGGACCCGGTCAGCAGTAGGGCCCTGGGGCCCCTCAGTTGGCCAGAACCACTAAACCAGGGCAGTTCCTGTTAGTGGAACGGGGCGGGGGGGGCGTCCCCCAGTGCACATCACTAAACCAGGTCCCGCTAAACCCAGTTCTGCCAACGCCCGGCTGGTTCCGGCCAGAAAGGGGGGGAAAGGCTAGAAAAACGTGTGGGTTTCGACCCCGAGGGGGCTGCTTCCGGCCAAGGGGGGTCATCTTTCCGGGGAGACCAGAATCGAGACCTCGCAAAGGGGGGGGGAGTGCCACAGGGGGTGGGTGAGTTCGGTCCGTTGGCGCATCGAAGCGCAGAAGAACGATGCAAAACGAGGTCTCCGGCCGCCGCCGGAACCCGAGAAGTGACGACAATCGGGGCGCGCGGGTGGCATCGTTTTTCGGAAATTCGATGCACCCGCGGATCGAACTCCCCCCCCTAAGGGCCCCTCTTTGGTGGACCCCGACAAAATGGGTGCGGACACCATGGGCATGAAGACGACGGCAGTCTTTGTCCATTTCGAGCAAGATTCGCATTCGGCGTCGCCGTGGACGTTGCCCACTTGAGGCGAATGCCGCCTGCCCAAGAGCGGCCGCTGCCAGTTTTGGACAGCACGTGCTGATGGGCATCGTAGCCATCTCGAGCGTGCTGACCACCTGGGGCGTCGCCAGCTCCTCCTGCTGACCGGGGTTTGGGGGCCGAAGGTTGACGGGGTTTGGGAAGATTAGCGGTGCGTCCCTTGAGGTGCCATCGGGGAACGCAGGGGCTGCATGGACATGCGAGTTCGGGGGTCCGCGCGACTTCCTCGGGTCGGAGCTGGGCCCACCCCTGGCGGCGCCTCTGTCGCCGCCCCCGGCGCCCTTCGCGCGCCGAGAGGGGCCTCCAAAAATTCGTATGGATTGATTTCATCCGAGTTAGGCAGCCGGGGCCACTTCGCCGTCTTCGTCGTCGTCGTGCCACTCCTTCTCCCCGTCGTCGTCCTCCTTTCCTACTCCAGGGGGGAGGAGTTTGGGGAAAGGAGGAAAGGGAAGTGGGGAGGAGTAGTATGTCGAGAGAGGGATGGAGGGAGGAGGAGTCGGAGGAGTGGGAGGGACGATCACCATGAGCAGGAGGGGGTACTCGGTGAAGGAGAGTGGCGAGAGGACGCGGGGGAAGTAGCACAGCAGTGGCCGTAGCAGAAAGACGTGGGGGGGATGATGAGGAGGGGGATGGCGATCACTAGGATGGTGCAGGGTGACGGACACCGGGTGGGGTTTGTGACGCGGCCGCGCGCCCCACCCTGCGGCAGGTTTCTTGCACGTACCGCACAGAGGACGGCACCGCTTGCTCAGGCGCCGGCGGGCGGGACTTGCAGGCACCGCCCCTTGTGGCCGTCACCACCCCCCAGACCTCCACGGCACTGAGAGTAACAAATCCAGACGGAGGCTTTTCGCCGCTGCAGGCCTCCAGGAGCCCTCGCTGGGCCCCGGGAGGCCGTTCACACAACGACGTGGGACGGAACGCCGGCGACCCTGGGGAACGGTTCCGGACTTCCGGGGGGGGGGGGCTGTATTGAGAGGATTGGCATCGGATTTCTGGGCGTGCGGGTATCGTCCCCTTGGCCGTCATCATGCAGGGCGCTCCAGAAGCTGACGCTTCTCTCGCCCTCGGAGACAGCTGGCGGAAGGCCTGCGGCGGGAGCAGGGCGATGGCGCCCCGCCCTCGGGGCGTAAGTCGTGTTCGACTCGGGGTGCCTCGAGGCGCCCCGTTTTGTTTGTTCGACCATCCTGTGGTGTTGGGTCCTCGTTTTGAAATGGCGGTCCCCGCGTCCCTCCTTCCTTCCTCCTCCCTCTCCTCGCCCTCGTCCCTCCTCCTTCCAGTTCACCCACCCAGTACAGCGCTTCGTGGCCCCATAGGGAGCTCCACCGAAGCCCCCACTGGCACCGCCCGTATGCGTCAGCCACAACCCAGTCAGCGCTTCGTGGCCCCATAGGGAGCTCCACTGGATGCCCCAGTGGCACCGCCCGCATGCGTCAGCCACCACCCAGTGCAGCGTTTCGTGGCCACATAGGGGGCTCCACCGAAGGCCTCAGTGGCACCGCCCGCATGCGTCAGCCACCACCCAGCACAGCGCTTCGTGGCCACATAGGGGGCTCCACCGAAGGCCCCAGTGGCACCGCCCGCATGCGTCAGCCACCACCCAGTACAACGTTTCGTGACGCGGTCCCACAGGGAGCTCCACCGAAGGTCCCAGAGGGACCGCCCGCATGCGTCAGCCACCACTCAGTGCAGCGTTTCGTGGCCCCATAGGGAGCCCCACCGACGGCCCCAGTGGCACCGCCCGCATGCGTCAGCCACCACCCAGTACAGCGTTTCGTAGTCCCACAGGGAGCTCCACCGAATGTCCCAGTGGCACCGCCCGCATGCGCCAGCCACCACTCAGTTCAGCGTTTCGTCGCCCCATAGGGAGCTCCACCGACGGCCCCAGTGGCACCGCCCGCATGCGTCAGCCACCACGCAGTACAGCGCTTCGTGGCCCCATGAAGGGGCTCCACCGAAGACCCCAGTTCCCAGTGGGACCGCCCGCGTGCGCCAGTCATCACCCAGCACAGCGTTTCGTGGCCCCAGAGGGGGCTCCACCGAAGACCCCAGCGGCACCGCCCGCATGCGTCAGCCACCACTCAGTGCAGCGTTTCGTGGCCCCATAGGGAGCCCCACCGACGGCCCCAGTGGCACCGCCCGCATGCGTCAGGGAGCTCCACCGCAGTTCCCAGTGGAGCCGCCCGCATGCGTCAGCCACCACCCAGCACAGCGTTTCGTGGCCCCATAGGGGGCTCCAGGTCCCAGTGGCACCGCCCGCATGCGTCAGCCACGACCCCGTTTCGTGGTCCCACAGGGAGCTCCACCGAAGACCCCAGTGGGACTGCCCGCATGCGTCAGCCACCACTCAGTGCAGCGTTTCGTGGCCCCATAGGGAGCCCCACCGACGGCCCCAGTGGCACCGCCCGCATGCGTCAGCCACCACCCAGTACACCGTTTCGTGGTTCCAGAGGGAGCTCCACCGATGGTCCCAGTGGGACCGCCCGCATGCGTCAGCCACCACCCAGTACAGCGTCTCGTGGCCCCATAGGGAGCTCTACCGACGGCCCCAGTGGCACCGCCCGCATGCGTTTCCCCCAACCAGTGCAGCGTTTCGTGACTTCATCGGGAGCTCCAGCGAGGGGCACCGCCCGCATGCGTCAGCCACCACCCAGTACAGCGTTTCGTGGCCCCATACGGAGCTCCACCGAAGGCCTCAGTGGCACCGCCCCCATGCGTCTCCCCCACCCATTACGGCACGTTCCTCACGCGTTTCGTGGCCCCAGATGGGGCTCCACCGAAAGCGGCACCCACAACGCGTTATTCACAATTGCATGTGGTTGGGTCCTTCGCCAGGGTATTTTTGTTCTTAGCTTCGTTATCGATTTCTGCTGCCCTCGTCATCGGGCAGGGCCGTCTGTCTTGACGGTCGGGTCCTGAACCTGTCTCTCGCGAGGTCGATTGATTGCTGACTGACTGCTGACCGCTGGTTCACTGTCTGTCTGGCAGACTGGCTGACTGGATGTCACAACCCATGGCGCAACCTGCGGCGCAACAATTGGCGCAAACCGTGGCGCAACCCCTGTGGCCCAGCCTATGGCGCAACACTTCGATTGCGTAGCCCATGGCGCAACCTCTGGCGCAACGAGCGGATTGCGCAGCTTGGGTCCACGGGTGATGCAACCTGTGGCGCACCCCACGGGTGGCGCACCCCGTCGCAACCTCAGGGAGGCTACGCCCGACTTCTGCGCTCGCCGCCCGAGCGGCGTGCCGTCTTGGGATTCCAGGGGCTCGAGCCCGCTCGCCCCCCTTCTGGGGCCTGGCGTGAGCCCCGTGCGCACTGGCTTCGCAACCACCGCGGTGTGCACAGCATTGATCGCTCTACGTTTGCTGATACAATGAATCACGATCATGGAGGATGAGCAGCTTTCCGAGGGCACCCTTTCATCCTGGCGTCTTCGTCCCATCCTCAGTCACCATCGCTGGCCATTTTCGCTCAAAGAGCCTCAGCTTGGGTTTGGGCGTCCAGCGTCTTTGTGTCTGTACCGCGCTTTCCTGTGATCCTGTCGCGCTGCATCTCCGTGCCGTTGAGTCCACAAGGCAACTTGTTCAATGATCGGTTTGTGATCTCCAGTCCCCCTGTCGTGTCCAACTGATCGTACTCCGAATTTCGCGAGGCACCCGCCTCGATGGCCTGTCATACTCGTCAAGCTGTGATTCGTAGGAGGATGCCTCTGCGAGAGCCTCGCTGGACATATGAGACCTCTCTGACAACACGCCTCTCCGCCCCTGGCAGCCGCATCCTGCAAGGGTTGGGAGAGGAGAAGGGTGCCTGCTCCGCCTCTGCGGAAGAAAGGCGGCAAGGAGGGACTCGGCACGGGGAAGCCACGGTGCGATTTCGGTTGATCGCCTCTCTCTGCTCTAATCTCTCCACGAGGCGGAGGAGGACGGAGCAGACCAGTGAGGAGCAGACGTAGTAGGGAGAAGCACGGAGTGATAGGGGAGGAGAGAGGAGAATAGACCGAGGGAGGAGAAGGGTGTCGGGGGACTGCGAGGCCTTTTCGGTCGTCCTCCTACTGCCGATGCTCCTTCCCGTCCTTCCCCCCCTCTCCCTTCGGAGCCCACCTCATTCATGCCAAACCCACATGCTTTCCTATGTGTTGATGTGCTTTGCTGTTTTTTCTAACTCGCGGCCCCAGAGGTCCCGACCCTTCTCTGGGTTCAGTTTTTCCCGCCCCAGATCTATCTATGGTGTTTCCGCTTGGGCGTTGCGTAATGCGGGGGCGATAAATGGAGAAGGCAGCGAGAGCTGCAGAAAAGGAGCCCTTTCTAGGGCCCCTGAGGGGACCCTTTGGGGCCCCAGCGGGGGCCTCTCTTTTCGTGTCCGTGAAATGCACCTTTCTCCCCCCCACTTATCGCCCCCCCCCCCCCAGTAAGCGACGGACGGCCAACCAGGGGCCCCAGAAACGTTCCCAGGGGCCGCACTGGAGGAACAACGCCCCGACCGCAAATCGGGCACCTGGGGCGCCGGGGCCCAAAGACGTTCGCAGGGGGTCCGCAGTCGAGGAGAAGCGCCCCGACTGCGAGGCTCGGAGAGCTGGGGGCGCTGGGGCCCGCCATCCCTTCACGCCCGCGGCGGCTGCCAGCTCGCCCGCCCGCGGCCCGTGGGGGGGGGGGGTGCTCGTCCACCCTGTTTCGCGCGGCACGGGCGTCGCGTAACGGGGCAGCGATGCACGGGTCGGCGTCCACTGGAGGAGGAGGAGGAGGAGGAGCAGGAGGAGGAGGAGGAGGAGGAGGAGGAGGAGGAGGAGGAGGAAAGGAGGGAGGAGGAGAGGAGGAGGAGGAGGAGCAGGAGGAGAGGAGCAGAGAGGAGGAGCAGGAGGGGAGGAGGAGGAGGGAGGAGGAGGGGAGGAGGAGGAGGAGGAGGAGAGGAGGAGGAGGAGGAGGAGGAGGAGGAGGAGGAGGAGGAGGAAGGAGGAGGAGGAGGAGGAGCAGGAGGAGCCCTTCGGCCTCGAAGGGCTGCAGCTCCGCTGCGTATGGGGGCGCGCCGGGCCGCTCCCGCCGACCAGCACCTCCTGGAGCGAGCCCACAGCCATTGCCTCTCGGCGGCGAGCGAGGGGGGGGGTGAGAGGGAGAAGGCCTTCTCAGAAGCCCTCGCGCCTTCTGAGAAGTTTTCGGTGTCTTCGGGGGAGGCTTCTAGCAGACTTCTCGGAAGGCTGGGGGACTTCAGAGCCTCCTGAGAAGGCCCTTCCCTTCTCACTTCCCCCCCAGGCTCGCCGCTGATAGATGGGGGGACGGAGGGGGGTGAAGAAAGGTGCACCATTCGTGCCCTAGCGGGACACCACAGGAGCCCCTGGGGCCCAAAAGTGGCACTAGCAGTGCGCGTCTCTCCCCCCCCCTCCCCCCTACCCCGCCTACGGTGGGGGCGTTGGTTGAGGAATGTGCCCAGGAGGCTCGAGCCCGTGGGGGGCTCCTTATCTGACGAGGTCGGCGGGAAAATACATGGAAAATCCACGGTTGGAGCTTCACTGGATTCCAGACCCCCTAATCCAATGGTTCCTTATCGTTCCTTGACCAATGGTTCCTCACGCCATCGAGCGGGGCCGCAAGACGGTTGCCGACAGGGCTGAGAGAGCCGCCCTGGCGGCGAGGGCGCGGGACGGCGCATGAATGTGTTCCTCTGCATGCTAGTGCCTGGCCTCGGCTGTGAAAGCGGATAGATACAACATGGCTCCTTACGGTCTCTGATCCAGCGGTTCCTCCTTCAATGTCC